TCTTATTTTGTATCAAAAGTATACTTGCAGCGAATAATTATCTAATTTTTGACACTTGTTTACTTTCTGGTATTCTTTTGTTTTTTTGATTATAGCCAGCCTACTCCGATGTATAAACACGTAATTAATTAATGAGTAGGTACTTTTGTGAAAAATATTGAATAACCTAAACACTGCGGAGTTTAAGCACAGGGCACCCCTTATAAACATTTAAGAGAAGACAAAAGCGAATAGCGAAATAAAATAGTGGTAGTTCCATTTGAAAAAGAATAGTTATAGCACTTTGAACAAACGGCATTGAAACAACCAAATATTCAGGATGTTCTATTTAAAAAGATCAGTTATTAATTGACATCGTAAAAATGGAACACCCTGTACATTCAAAAATAATTTCTGTAGATCCGCAACCACCAATATTTTTACCAGGTATCTATCAGCTATGTAGGAAAAACCGACGGACTGTTGCAGGACCCTGTATATAGCCAAAAACTATAATATTGAATCAAAAATTATTTGTGGCTCTTTAAGAATTGGGAAATTTTGTAAATTGTAATTTTTAGCTCTTCCGTTTCAATAGGTTGCCGACCCCTGTCCTAGGTAGTTTAACCGGTGGCAACGGTTTAACCGACACACACAAAAATTAAGAATAGATAGGTAGGTACATTTAATTTCTGTTACAGTGATCAAGGATGCCTGCGTATTTTTTGCTTTCCTGTTCAAATGTAATTCAATCTTCCTTAAGGAATGTTAAGTAAGGTCACGATTCATGAAAGGAAGAATGTTTATCTTACGTCATTCAACATCCTGTGTGCCACATAAATGCCTTATAAGTACGTTTCTTGGGTATCTAGAATTCTGTATACAACAATTACAAATCGAGATAGTGGGTTCATTACAGATTCCTGTATAATAATTAACAAAGGTAAAAAACTGACATTATTATTCATCTTTCTCGATGGTAGAGACATCTACGTCTTGTAATTTAAACTATTGAAAACAGTCACATATCCTGCCATTTAACCTGCGCTTCTGATAGTTATAAATTCAATGCTCTGACTCTGAGGTATGATTATTACGATCCTGCGATCAGGATAAAGTTAAATACAAAATATGTTTTAATTTAACTTCATGCGATATCCGAACTTCGAAGAAAGTTGAATTTTTTCGGACGCAATTTCCTGCTCAAGACGTTTGAAAGGTGACCAATTAAAGCCATTCGGATTACAGTAATTTTCATGGTAGGTACCTATTTCTAGCTTCGAGGTTTATACAGGGTAAGGCAACACTAGGTATTTATCTAATTTAAAAAATGTGTAAGCAAAAGTCGTGTTTATTTACTCTTTAGTACTCAAAGAATTTTGTACGTTTTTTGTAAAGAATTTAAATTTTATTTATCATTAACTTCTTAAATTAGTACAGGAAAATTACAAAAAAAATTCGTTAAGCCGCTTGTGATCAAGAGGCGAAGAGTGCACGTTCTTATTTGTTTTTTCGATTTTAATAGCCCTTATGGACATTTCATGCCTTAACCGAGGATGCAAACATTTTTAATTTCTGAGCGCATGAGCCTTTGTGAATTGTGACTCAGACAGACATCTAGAGCGCAAACGTGCACTTTTAATTTTTTGAAAATGAAAGTGCACTAAACTATGCTTAGTTGATTATGATGTAATTAGGCATAGATACCATACACCCACTGGACACCTATTAGCAGAAGTATCAGAGCAGCGAATAATTAAAGCACCTTAGACGGATAGGAAAATATGTAAAATTCATTTTCTGTGGTAACAAAATAGTCAACACACATGCCACACTTTGTACAGTAACTGCGAGATTTTGTTGTGCCTTGCCACTGGCAGCGCATCGTCCTCTTTTTGCAGCTAAATTATTCTTCCCTTCTAATGTGATTATCCTTGCAACAGATGTCGAGTTCCATAGAGTTTGACTCGGAGTTTGAGTAGCTGCGAAATAGCTTTGATACTTCTTTTACGAAGGTAAAATCTATGCATTATGGATAGCTGCATTTGATAACCGAGAAAATAAAGGACAAAAATTTTCTATTTCGATATTGATTTATATTTTGTCAGTTCCACCTATGAATTTGTGAATTTGTTATAATAGGTAAATAAAGATGTGCGTGGCTTGAACTATGAATATACTTCTTCCTTTGTAAATATCTTTTAAGTTTTAACAGATGTTATTGGACTAACTCCATACATGTTTGAAGCAGCGCTTACCACATATTTGTTTTTCCATTCGCAAGGTTAAACTCCATTAGTTTTGCTTGTTCAAATTTGCCACATTCTCCTTTTATGAATGCTGCCTTTTTCGTAGTAGGACAGTTCTTTGGAATATTTGTTATCTCGGAGTGTACCAGTTCCTCCATTTGCATATCCACTTTTTCGAAAAAAAGCAAAAAATTTAAACTGGTGAACAAGTTGTTAAAATGAAACTGATAAGGTAATGATCACATTTTGAAGGTAAATTTTATTGATCAGGATGACTAAAGGGCTTTTCAAAATTTCTTTTCTGTTCTTCTGTCTGATGAAATAGTTTTCCATTAATAGATTTTAAAATCAGTAAGGTAACCGTCAGCATTAGAGATGTAACAGAGGTCCAAAAGAGCGGAACAAATTTTCATCAAATGTTATATCAGAGATTGATGAACAGGGTCGGTGCGGTCACAAGCAGTGCGTTTGCGTACAAAGTTTATACTACTGTCACAAGGGGAACCTTCCTCATCCCGTGTCTTCTGTTGATTACCTTTTCACTTGTTGTGTTCATTAACTATAATTTGCTTCTTTTCGAGTTACTTAATTTGATCTATTTACATATAATATTGTTTAAGATGCGACATGTCTCTTCTGCCTGCGATTACGGTTCCGATTCCGATTTTGGTTCCAATAAACCAAATTTAAAAACTCCGCTTCCGAATTCGGTTCCGATATAACCACTTCCGTTATATCCCTAGTCAGCAGTATTGACATGGATATACCTTTTATTTATTTTATTTAAATTTGAGGTCAATGTTGATTTGTACCTATTTATTACATGTATTGAAATTTTGTTTAAATAACCGCCTTGTATTTTTATTTATTTATTGTTCACTTAGATTAGAGACGCGCAATGCATTGTACGAGTTGGGGGGGGGGGAGCTATCAAAGTGGGCCGTTGACCAAAGGTGGATTTGATTACCTAATGTTAACAAAATGATAAAGAAGCAGGATCGGAAAATCTGGGGCGAAGAAGCAAAAATCAACACGCTATCGAAAAATGTAGCGCTCAACCAGTATAGATTCTCTTCGAAGATTTCAGTAAGAATTCTTCTTCCACAAGATTTTTACTATAAATGCCTCGCCGAATCTCAAATATAAAACGATCCCCTTTTTCTGACCGCAGATTTTGTAGAAAGCGTGCCCTCTTAACCAATATACATCCCGCATTTTCGTCACGTGCAACGTTATGTTGGTGTTCGTGTTTTTGTGTATCTGTGAAAGAAAATCGGAGTTAGGACCGGATATTAGGATTATTAACACTTTAAAGTGATTAACATATCTTTTGATCAATTTGTTTCAAACGATCCCATGTGCGTGGTATAGGTATCGGTCACACACCTTGAGCGCCATTGTTTATTTTGCGCAGTATTCGTTCTTTGCGAGGTTCTTTGTTTATGTCGAATACATTTTTTAATGAAAGTTTTCATGTAAAAAGTGTTGTTAGGGTTTTATTGAGATAGCTGGACAGTTGTTCATGTGGATGGTTTAGTGATCGTGTGCCACTTCGCATAGCAACATCTAAAAAGATATAAGGAAGTTTCCATACTCTTACCGAACAGCAACAACTTGCCATCCTTCTTTAAAAATTTCAAAATAATCCGCCTACAGCTAAGGAAATTGGCTCTGTGCATACACAACCCATTTTTTGAAGTGAAGCATCCTCAGTTAAAATTTCAGACACAGTGATTTTACAAATAAGAAAGTTATGTCTGCGCATGCGCAATCCGTTTTTTTTTTGACAGGTGATACAATTTTCTTTTATAAGAAGCACATTTTCTAAAAATTTCAGAAAAATCCGTCCATAAATAAAAAAGTGTAGATAATAAATAACTGCCCGAAGTAATAACAATGTTCGCCAACAAAGCGAATTTTCTTTCTGTGTAATATATTTAACCGCTTCCTCAATCACATTGGGGTTTAGACCAAGATTTTGGGTGTTAAGTTATAAGCACAATAAATGGCAAAAAATTAAAATTGGGAGGAGTGACAAACGTAGGTTTTTTCTTCTAACTGTTTTCGTGAGTGTCACAAAAAAAAATCCATTCTTTGGTACCGCCTCGACACCACAAAGAACCAAATAGTGAAAAAAGTAGGACAATAGCTCTTAGAACATTCAACAGACCAAACCAACCCGTGGATGGTGCAGTAGATATTTACCTCATAATTTTGCACAGATGAGCCTGGTAGAAAGTATAGGCGCACATAGCGCCCTGTAATGATGTATTCCAAAACTTTTAATTCAATTGTCGAGTTTGAGAAACTGCCACTGCTTTTTCGAAACATCGAAGTAAATCCTGGTAGGCGGTACTATTGGTGTGTTTTTTCTGTGGACCTATTGGCAAAGGAAAGTGATTAGGAAGCTTTGAGTCTGTCTGTCCGTCCGTGAACATGATAACTGCCAAAGGCTTCGGCCGCTTCCACATGTAACAAGCCTATTGAAAATTGGTCAAATCCAATGACCCCATAGGATCACACCAACGTTCTCTGCCGCTTTTTTGGATCCGATTTAGGGGTTAACTTTATGTCAATAAATTAAAATAACATATTGTGTAACTATAGCTTATTGAGCACTGAAATTTCCTAACCGCAAACTTGCACCTACAGCAAAGGAATATTTGCTATTAAATTATATAAACTATATGCATTAGGTATATCGTTGAGTGAAGGATAATTACTCAATGATTATATACATAAGTATGTACTTACATTTAAACTTTGTTTCAGTTTATAGCAGCTAGCGATAAGTTATGGTTCATGCTAGAGATGTATTCCTTCGTAGATTACTTTACGATACCCCCGTCCTTTGTCTCCATATACCTGGATCGTACTTGGATAGGTAATATAATATTTTTATTAGCAACTTAATTTCTATGCAATCTTTCGTGTAGGTCTTCGTTTCCTTCGTGCATTACGACTTATGACCGTACCAGATATTTTACAATATCTCAATATACTGAAAACGTCAAGTTCCATTCGTCTTGCACAATTGGTGTCCATATTTATATCAGTGTGGCTTACTGCTGCAGGAATAATCCATTTGGTAAGACATATAGTTTTCCAATAGTAGCAGAGGTGTGTCGAATACATTAAACATTGCACGCATGTTTTTAGTTGGAAAACTCAGGCGATCCATTAGAGTTCAGCAATTCACACAAAATGCCCTACTGGAACTGTGTTTATTTTCTAATTGTGACAATGTCAACAGTAGGTTATGGTGATGAACACTGTGATACACTACTTGGTCGAACATTCTTAGTATTTTTTCTTCTCGTTGGTTTGGTAAGTTTCTTAATTTTTTATTGATACAGAAATAAAAGAGCATAAATACATAATTATGTGAATGAATTATATATTTATACCTATTATGTCGTGGCGCTTATAGCTTTAAAAATTGTAAATGATCTAAACTCTAAACAATCTCTCTTTGCATAATTGTCAAAAATATCTTGCATCTATCTTTTTGCCCTTTCAACCTTCAGGCTTATATATTATGAAAATGAAGTAGTTTGTTGTTCCTAAAATAACTTAAAGCCATGATCGTTGATGCTCGTTCTGCATAAAGCAGTCTTAAAGAATAAATATTACTAGTATGTTGTTTATTCTTTTCTAGATTTATAATATATTTTCCGATTCCGCTTCCTGATCACCTAAACCTTTTTTTTATCCAATACCCCCCATGGAAAATTTCACTTAAAAAATAAATAAATAAAGGTTTGTGTTTTTTGTGTAAATGTTAGTAAATGCATGATGTACGTAAATTGCACTGGCACTTGGCTTTAGCAACTTGTAGCTAGCTTCATCGATCTAACCCGGCTCCCTTATTAGACTATTGGAGCGCTTTTTACACCTTGCTTGTTATTGAAGATGTACAGACAATCAATGTTGTTTTCTTATTAATAAAACAACATTTAATAGTAGAAGGAATGTTTGTTTGCAGGCAATATTTGCTAGTAGCATTCCAGAGATTATAGATCTCGTAGGCACTAGGTCCAAGTACTGTGGCGAATACAAGAGAGAGCATGGAAAGAGGTACATTTAATATTACATTTTGAGAAGAAATCTGGTTAAGAACGAGTAGCATAGGCACCATCATAGTGCACAGAGAAAATGCTTTTAGTTAATATTCACAGAATTTGTGCAGCTTTTTTATTCCAAGTCTTGCACTTAGTATTACCAACTCTATCAAATTTCTTCTCTCCCAATGATGAATGGCAAAATTATTTCAAGAAATAGTTTTGTGAACAACTGATAATGCATATGCAATTTAACTAAATCGATCTGCATGATTTCTGATAAAATTATACAAAAAAAGGATCAATAAATCTTAGAATTTTTTCTGATTTAAACACAGCCAGCCCCGCACACTATATAAGCATTTTGTTTTTGAATAACACCGCCTGCTATTGCCTGTTTGGGGTTTAAAGTGTAGGTTAGCGGAATCCGTTGGAACCAAGTATACGTAGTGCACCATCAAGTATCACATACCTACATTCTATAAATAGCTTTTAACACATTGCACTTGATTTCACCTTTTTAGAATATAAGATGCCCTTTATCCTGTTACCTTTGTCATTTTGTGATACATACTAACAAATAACGTGAAATTTCTAAAATTGTATTTTCAACGCAGTGATGCATTTTTTTGCTAATAGTTAGTGGGTACATTACTTTGATAAAATCTATATTCTGAATTTGTACAGTGTACTTACTAATTATGATAAAGAATGTACTGCACAATCCTTGGTTCCCGATGTTCTATTTATTTATTATTTACCTTAATGTTTACCATATGTAGGTTGTATTAAACAATACAATCAAAAAGTTTGAATATTATCTATATGAAAGTAGAGTAGTATTTAAATGGGGTCCAAGGAGGAGCCTGATGGGGTGTGTGTGGGTTGCTAGGCCGTGTTTGCCAGCTGGATTCCTGAGATCACAGAGCTTGCTGCCAGTCGGCCCAAATATGGCGGATCATACTCAAAAGACATTCGACGCAGGTATAAATTAAGAAAACTGCATTATCTAACACTCAGAATGATGCTACTTTTTATCAGTTTGTAGCAGTTGCAAACAGCTAAGCGCTAGTCAGTAACTTTGACACCTCAAAAGTGTTACCCCTACCCTACTTACTTCCTACTAACAAGTTGTTTGTTACTGTGTGGTTGCAAAATTAACAAATCATACTTTTAAAGTATAAGATAATTAAAATTAGACGCAGTAGCGGGGGTAATATTTTTAGTACATTTTCTTGTAGCAAAACACTAAATTAGCATTGATTTCTTTAGCATGCAATAACATAGCTTACTCCAAAACAACATTCTGTATGCTTACTTTTATTAGATATAAAACAAACGCCAACACTTTATCTATAATGTTTTGTTTTTGAACACTTTAGTGGGTTAAATAGACAAGCAATAATAAAAAGTCATTAACAAAGTCCAACCAGTTACAGCGTACAGAATGGAAGAATCTATAGGCCTGTTTAGATTTTAGTAGGATTTTAGTATAGTAGCACCCAACAAAGCCTGCACAGCCTGCTAGCGCCACGCACGGCCGCGCTCTTTCACTAGAATGTGCAGGATGTTTGAGCGTGCTGAATTTTAAATTGATACTGATACTACATTCATTAGTTTTGTGTAGAATATAGGTATGATTAAGAACAGAAAACTGAAAAGAGAGTAAATGGTAGTCAAAATTTAATAACACATTCTGTATAATGATAAAAATTTATCCATACCTAGAAGGCTCCTCTACTAGGACTTAATTGTTTAATGTTGTATCGTAAATTAATAAATAAATTTGTTATTTCATAATCCCAAAAATCCCCTCCTACCTGCCCTTGTCCCATTCGTGCTTAGAGCAGGTCTTTATTGTGTACATATATTTTAAGTTGAGCCTTTCTTAAACAAGTTTTCCTTCCATTCTAGCACAGGTTACATTTACCATTTGAATACATATTTAAAATAACATTTGACATCAGAACGGTAGGTAAAACAGTTTAGAAACCCGATTTTGAGCATCACACTATTATGAAACTTGTTTAAGAAGGATCAACACTTGCCTCTGTTCTGCTGTCAATGATCCGTATGTATTGTTTTGTTTGTGCGGCTGGCGTCTAGGCGATATTTGCCAGTTGTATCCCTGAGATAATTGACTTGATCGGGACTAGGCCGAAGTATGGTGGCACTTTGAAGAATGAAAGAGGCAGAAGGTGAGAATTAACCTTATGGTATTGGTATTCTTAACACATTACAACTAATTAACGTTAAATTCTGTATTCGTGTTAAGAAAACTTATATCAACCAGCTTACTTGTTTCAATGTACCAAATCCTGCACGCAGACTGTCCAAACTCCATTGCCTATTTTCTTGGTGTGTACCTTATTCCCTATTCTTCAGTTTCACAACAATGTTATTGAGATATGTAGGTGTTAATTACAATATTTTTGGACATGTTTGAGGTAAAAAATTATCTGAATATCTTTGTATGTTCTCAATCATGTCCTTGATGTTTAAATGTTAGCGAGTGAATTGCATGCGTATTAAATTGGATCTATGTGCGTGGCCAGGCTGTGTGCGCAGGCGCTCATCCTGTACTTAGTTTTTAGGTACAAGCTCAATTGATTAGTTCAAACTAGTGCCTTTTTTTCAAAATGAAAATGTCTTTTGACTTCTGTTCTGTTTTAGAATCACAAGATTAGCTCCTCGTGAAGTCAAGGATGTTCATATATTAGGATTAATCACGATTTAATTTGCATGTGCCCTTAGTATATATCTGCAAACTAAAACTGCACAGTTTTGAGATTGCATTATTCCTTTGTAGTGCTGCATTATGAAATTTAGAAATCAGGCATTAACTCTTCTTTTTTAATACTAACAGATAAGTGTATGAAATAACAATAAGCAAACAATTCATTATTATTGATAATTCTATTGGTGGATGGTTATTTTTGGAGTTACCTAAACATCTGCCAAGAGAAAAATTTAACAATCAAATGATTTACATGATACGTCATTCTGTCATCATAGAATATAAAAAAGCAGAAAGTTCATGCATTTTAGTTCAGATAAAGTTGATATAGGTGTAAAGCAAATTTTTTAATTTTTCTTACTTACTAAAATGTGTTTTATATTAGGCATATCGTGGTTTGTGGGCACATCACATATGAATCCGTCTCTCATTTCCTCAAAGATTTTTTACACGAAGATCGTGAGGACGTAGATGTGGAGGTAGTCTTTCTTCATAGGTAAGAATATCAATATCAAAGGCATACTATTGTACTGTATCTACTCTTAAGTGAAATCTCATAAGCACAGATGTCTTCGTTTCTATATATTTAAGTACACGTTTTGAATAACCCTCGCTTTCTAGAAAAGAACCTGATCTGGAATTGGAAGGATTATTGAAACGTCACTATACAACGGTGGAGTTTTTTCAGGGAACCATGATGAACGCTGTTGACCTTGAACGAGTCAAGGTAGCATTGGGATATCTTGTTTATAAAAATTGGATCGTGTGTTACATATTTAAGCTTTATTTTTATATTAGCTAATCTTATATGTTTATTCGCGGCTCATTTTTTGTGTCAGAAACTGTGTCCAAAAACAGAACATATAAGATTATACTTGGAGTAGTGGATATAGCGAAGGCTGTCTTTCTGCTGCATGGTATTGCTGAGAAGGAATGCTCGATTGGGAACAAATATAGATTTTAATTTTTATCTTAGTTATGCAAAGGCTTTCATATGTAATGTACAATTTTGGTAACTATTCCGTTGTGCAGGAAACCACCTGACCTTGAACTGGAAGGTCTCTTCAAGAGACACTTTACAACTGTAGAGTTCTTCCAAGGTACCATCATGAACCCTATCGACTTACAAAGGGTGAAGGTAAGCAGCAAAGAACAAAATTGGACTGTTTTAAATGGAAAAATTTATTGTGTCATTGTTAATTTTATGGAAAGCGTTAAGCAGAATACTAGCAATTGACCTGGGTGTGTTATCTCATAACTTTCCACAGAATAACGAACGATTAGAAGTAAGGAAATGATTTTGTGGTGACACGTTTTCAATGTTAACCTTTTTTCTCTAATAGTTGCAAAATTATTTCATTCTGTCAATAATTTTTGTAATTACATACATCTTAGTTCAAGAATTGCATTATTAGAAAATTAGAGCCCATTGCTAATTTTCATAAAGAACGTGTAGCACACAAAAGTCACACTTTAAGTATTGTGCTGAAAACTGATGTACCTATTTAAAACAACTTATTTAACTTTGCCAACAATGGGAAATTCTAATTGCTGGTGGTAAGCTTTTGCTTTGATATTTATAAATGTGGCGAAAACGTTATATTCCACTTTCTTCTTCCTCACATGTGTTTTTTCATCTTTTATTAAGGACTGCAGGTCTTTCTTTTTTTTTTATATATATATAAGGCCTTTTCGGGATCTTGCCCATTTTGGCCCACAGTTTAAACATAAGTCACAATTAGACATTAGGATAGACCCATTTCACGCTCTGGGGCCGATCAGGGTGACTTTATAAACAACAGAGGTAGGCCACGGAAGAAAGGGATATACAGGTACACACAGGTACTATAACAAAGGCAATTTTATTTATATGTTTAATTCAACCAGGTCTTTCTTGATATCGTGTGGTTGTCTGACATGCGCATATTCAGCTTTGTCATGCATCAGAAACGTCATACTTAATGTGCAGGGTATCTACTAAAAAAACGTATTTTTAATTGTCCTTCACGTTAAGTTTAACGTTAGTGATACATCACACGGCTGAATAACTTTCGAACCGAAACTCTTAGTCTTGACAGATCAAAGGTCGCCATAGTTAAACGATCTATTTAAACCCCCCCCTTAGTTTTGTCTATTGCTCAACACCATTACCACCTTTTCTTCTTTCATGCGCTGTAATTATCGCGCGGAGCTCCCTTTATCATGCTTACCTGGGTCCGGCCCCGTTGTCGGCGTGCCAAGGATTCTTCTACAAATTCGACCAGGTCCTCAAATTCACCTAATTGGGATCGAGATTATTTTGATTCAGAAAGCAAGATTTATAACTATGTCGCTATGTGTAACAACTACCCCTCGTATTGCGTCGGCTGCTTTGGTTGATCTGATATTGAGAGATTCTTGAACTAAAGTGTTTTAAATTCTTATGAAAGGATACTATTGCAACATATTCCTTCTCTTTTCCCAAAGTTAACTATAACCCATACTTTAAGAAACTATATCCAGTACTTACCCATAGGTTTAGAACAGAAACTAACATCACAAAATTATTTGCTTTGACTGGACATAGTTTTGTTAACAGTTCAATAAAGTAGAAAATAATCCTAGAAATGTTCCCTAGATCCTTTTAAAGCTAGCATATTTACAAAAAGAAAGCTCTGTATTTCGTATCTGTACCACAAAAATAATGGTAAGTTAGCTCGATGATGTGCGTATAATTTTGGTACTCAATGGATTTTTATTCGAACTAATTAATGCGAATGCTAAAAGTTAAATGCATGTAGTAGAAATGGTAGAATCTTATCACTTAGAATTTAATGAAAATCGCACATTGGTATATCATTCATTAGGTATATTTTAATGAATGTAAATCAGTCAGTGATCATGGCAATAAACTTTTTCGCTTTGGTTAATTTGAAAAAATTGCATGGCCGTAATGTAATGTACTGTAGATATTTGTAAAATACTTGTTAGGAAATTAAACAGTTTTATAAAATAAAAAGATAAAATCCAAATCTTAATTTCAGTTTATTTTTACATTTTAAATAAGTTCTAATTCAACTGATGAATAATAAATAATGAGTTTGTTTGAGTTCACGATGAAAAGTTTTTTCAAAAGGAATTTTTCTAGGTTCATGAAGCAGACGCCTGTTTAGTGTTGGCTAACAAATATTGCCAAGATCCAGATGCCGAAGATGCGGCCAATATTATGAGAGTGATTTCAATTAAAAACTATAGTGATGACATTCGAGTTATAATCCAACTAATGCAATACCACAATAAGGTAAGGAAATTCTAGTTTTGATGACTTGGGGTATATGGGTTAAAATTCCTTTTCCTTCTGTATCAGTTACATAGTGGCATTGGGTAATAATCTTAAATATTATTCACCATATGCGACTTTCGGCTTTACCTTAAATCTAATACAATATTTGAATTAAATGTGCTTACTGTATCTCAATTGAGTGGTTTTTGAATCGTTTGGAAATTTCGAGAATCCTTCACAAAATAATATTCTCCTTTTATAATGCATTCGAAATGGATTGCTGGGTTAAATCCATTTACTTAAATTCCAATTACTTTCATAATTGGCGTGAATAAGAAATACGTCTTGCCGTAGAGGTACCACAGCTATTCAAAAAACTTGTACATGGTCGTCAAAATTTAAGTTTTTAGTTTTGAAAATCTGAAAACATGATTTTTAAGGAAATCATCTATTTATCTTTACGAATTCAATGATTCTACACTATAGGAATAAGGAAATCGTTTGTGAGAAAGGGTCTTTTCTTTGTGTAAAGGTTACTTTAATTTGTTACCACGATTTATAAAGACTGTGACGTAACAATCGGACGAACCTTGCGCCCTATACAAGCATTAGTAGTATTGATAGGATTACGGTCCCTATCTAAAGATATCTTGTGCAAAATGATCATAAAATGTGGAAAAAAATTCCCCTACTGAAAATCGTATGTCATTCTTCGTCTCTTGTTTTTTGGTTATGATAGAATAGTATTTGCTTCTTGATGGTTTTTGTTAAATCGAAGTCCATTGCTCTACTCGCTTTACTAAATTGTTCGCAAGCATATGGAGAGGCAATTAAACAATTTTTTTTTAAATTGTGACTTTTTCGTGATTGTTGTAGCGTTAGGGTCGCAAATCCTAGCGCTCCCAAGCGAATCTTGTTGAATTTTGTTTGATCAACCCCCCCCCCCCCTGCGTCAATGGGTTTCAGAAGTGATTTTGGTCAACAAGATATTTTAATTTTTTATTATTCACTTACTACGCCGGTTTTAAGGTTTCTGGGTAAACCGTGTATTGATATTTGGATCCAGCTGAAGAGCGAATTTTTGCTTGTTTGGAAGAGGGGGGGAGGTGTTTTTATTTCTTGAGAATCATAATTTGGAAACACATTGTCTCTGAAATAATTTTTGATTCATTTAAGACATACACGTAGTATATGTATACAGGGTAGTCTTAAATACAGTACCAAACATGATAACCAACCAATCTAAAGCTAAAAATAAGGCATAGGGAAAATTAAATAAGCAAATTACGCTTTAATGTAAGACATGTGCCACAACTGTTATAGATGGGTCCCGTGAACTTAGCCGAATTTTAAAAAGGGTTTATTTTTCTTAATACTTGGAACAGTTATCTGTGCGCCACTGTACTTTCCCATTCCATTTTTGTCTTTATTTCCACGCCGTACTATTTACTGCGATTCCGAAAAACGTCATATCTGATCCCAATTCAGCAGAATTAATAGGTTTAAGATTTTTTTCTTAAATTTTGTTAAGAGCAAACTTACACAGAAATGCTTGAGACATCTGCAGTGTATGATGGTATATGATCAGGTTTAATATCCTTTTGAACAAAATGGTTACTCGACACACGCAAAGCTAGAAGCAATTTCAAATGATGAAGCATGCATCAGTTGCAGTGAGGATGTGTCCATATGTGTAGGGAGCATTGCTGATCATTTAGTAGACGCTGAAAACAAAAAACTAGAGATGCAGATGATCTTTTTTACAATGAGGCAAAATCGAGGGTTGATGCATTAGATCCAAAACGCGCTTTATATTATACACGTAGAGACCCGATGGCAATGGCTGAGTTCACTTCACGTGTACGCTCACTGCTCACAAAGTAGCGCATATAAAGCGCTCCTGATTTTGCTGAACAAATTGTAAAACCAATAACTTAGTGCGCAGGCGCAAACACTAACTCTAGCTAGCTAGAGAAATCAGTCGCCGAAATACGCTTCGTATGCTGCTGCAGCGCCTTCTTTGAAGTGAGTCGTTCACCAGACATTTGAAGTAGCAATCGCGAAGCGCTTCATCTGGCGAACGCACCCATTAGGTAATGGTCACAGCACGCTTACATTTTATGATAGCCCTTACAATGCAGCTGATAGATGCATACGTATGATCCAGACTAATTGATAAGAAGGTACACATGAAAACCAGGGGTATAAGGAGGTAATAAAAGTTGTCACTTTACCGGCCGCATCTGTGACATATTGCTAAATGTATACAGGGTGGTGACTTGCGTAACGCATCATAGGGATTTCAATGTAAAATTCATAACATGCGATTATTGGCTCCCCAAATTATTTTAGAGCAAAAATGTATTAAGGTTTTTTGTAGAAAAAAATTTTTTACGCCAATCAACCGTATTAGTTTTCAATTTTTTGCATAATAAAGACGGAAAATCGGAAAAATAAAACCCGCATCTTTATCAATAATCTATCATGCCATGGAATTTTATAATACAAAAACTACGCCAATATCCGTCATGCCATGGAATGTCTGCTATAAAACAAATCAAATTCTATCAAAAAGTATTATATCGGGCGATCAAAAATGATTGGCTGTCGAGTCGCCTTTGGAAGTTCAAGTTAGATACGATTTCCCATGTAAACAAAAATTCCAAAGGCGACTAGAGAGCCAATCATTTTTGATCGCATTGTATTTAGAACAGCGAATTCAACATAAAGAAAGACCAAATTACTAAAAACGATTTCTTAATATAACAGTTTACAATAGATGTTCGAATAAGTCACCATTAACTGCAAGACAGTAACCAAGTCGATCATAAAGTCCATTTCGAACTGCAACTAATTGATAACTGGATATCTTTTTGTTTTAGAAAATTCCATGGCATCGCAGATTATTGGAAAAGATGGGTGTTTTATTTTTCCAATTTTCCGTCTTTATTATGCAAAAAATTGAAAACTAATAGGTACGGTTGATTGGCGTAAAAATTTTTTTCTACAAAAAACCTTAATACATTTTTGCTCTAAAATAATTTGGGGGGCCAATAATCGCATGTTATGAATTTTACATTGAAATCTCTATGATGCGTTACGCAAGTCACTACCCTGTATAATGACTCCTGTCATCACTGGCAGATTGACATTAGTCAAAAGTTCTATATGAAGATTGAAATGTTATATTAAATACGATTTCGGGTAAAATTTAATACAAAACTCGTCACTAAAATGATACTACTTGATTCGGAAATTAAAGTACTCTGGCCCAAAGGGGCCTCATCCTTCAATATTTCCTCGCCAGTAATGTATCATTTTCTTGACTTTTATGTAACGAACTATTATCAGAAGGATATTATCCAAATTTCATGAAAATCTCTCCATAAATGAGAAACTTCTGCAGTCACGCACATGTACAAAAATGTTTATTATTGTAATTTTATAGTATGCCCACTGGATTCATTTTTATGGGAAGTATAAATGTAGTTAAAGTTATCTATATCTTAGTAAATAAAAAAGGTGGGATTCACTCATTCTACATGTTGAATACCCGTCAATTAAAAAAACTGTAGTCTTCTACGAGGTCCGAGGGCTGAGATCTAATACCCACAGACGGATGGGCAGATGGAATTTACGCAAATAGAAGCGCAACACATAAATGCTTGTACAACTGAAAACTGAAAATGAACATTAAAAATATCTTGCTTTTCTCACTCACTCATTTATGACCTTGTTGTGATTATGGACTTATTTTCGAAATGAGTTTTTCTCATGTAGATCTGTTGCTAATGTCATTGATACAGAATGATAGGTAATTTGGAAAAGATACAGAAATTTAAAAAAAGATTTAATGCTTTTGTTACAGGCTTACTTGTTAAACATTCCATCTTGGGACTGGAAGCAAGGAGATGATGTAATATGCTTGGCTGAATTGAAGCTAGGATTTATTGCGCAATCCTGCTTAGCGCCTGGATTCTCGACCATGATGGCGAACCTTTTCGCCATGCGTTCATTCAAAACGGTAAGACATTATATTGTGCACTGTAGGTATCTTTCAAGCACATTGATGTCGTTAGTTAATTTCTTCAGTGCTAAATATGTCTCTTGTTAATACAGATTTTAACCACCTATCGGATAGTAAGAGGCGATATACATAAATCAAAATGATGTTTGGTCTTGTTTTACAGGAACGCCTTTTATTCCGTTCATTTAATTTGATTGAAGTAAAAAATGTTTTTATTAAAACTGTAAATGATTGCAGTCTCCAGACATGCAAGTGTGGACCAATGATTATTTGCGTGGCACGGGGATGGAAATGTATACTGAGACGCTGAGTCCCTCATTTATAAGCATGCCATTTGCTCAGGCCACAGAGTAAGTTGGCTTGAGAAAACGCAGTATCTGATACACATCGTACAGCACTCCTATCCTCATGCTCATGCAATGTGTCTATTTTATTTATATAATCCTCTCTTACACCTTGGAACGTAGGGTCAACTTAAATACATTCAAGTAATAGTTGTATTCATGTTATCCCTTAGTAGTACCATCTAACAAAAACCTTAAGTAGGATTTCTAGGTCTATGCTATTCAAATTCAACATATTGATATAGGCTTCAAAATATTGTCTTTTTATGTACCATATAGGAGGGAATTTAAACTTAGCAACTTCAAATTTGGTGGAACGTTTGTAAGGTTAAATGTTTTTTTAAAATTAATATTTAGCATCCTTTGTTGCATTACCACTCTTTGAAATATAAGTGGTGTTACAACAAAGGAGATTTTGTAGGATATGACAATTGTATTGTTGCGCTCTTGTAAGTGCAACAAAGTTTAGTGGTAGTAATTGTCGTTTCAGTCCCCTGATATGCAAGTCTGGCAGAACGATTACCTGCAAGGCACAGGATGCGAGATGTACACTGAGACTCTGTCCCCCTCGTTCACAGGCATGACATTCCCACAGGCCAGCGAGTAAGATCATATCCACACGCAACGCAATATTATTTTATCCTTACTAATTTCCTCTATCCAAAACTGGTTAATGCGAAATTTGTTTGATGAATAAAACTCTCAAAAATTTGTGTTGAGTTTTTCGCGCTGCACTTTTTGATTGAGATTCATATAAAAGTGAAGTAAGCATGTGGTATATGTTGCAAAATTTTTGGTTATTCTCATAGATTACTGTGATCACTGTTCCCATGTATGGTTGTGAACAATGTTCCGAAACTTTTTGTAATACTAACTGTCCACTGTCATGGATGTACAAAATAAACAAAAAAATTGCTTCTCACATTGTACATATGAACCATTGCAATGTGATGATGGTCTGGGAACAGATGAAGAACATACACAAAAATTTAGGTCGTTGATAATTGCGTTTATTACTGTTGTTAAAAGAAAATTTTTAGAATAGAATTTAGAATTTTGGTTACCGCACAGAGGATAAACAATTGATGGGATGCAATTTTTGTGACCTCACAGGGTGTATTTTTCATCTGAAGAATGGGTTCGTAACGACAATATTAAAAGGATGGAAAAAGTACTTCTACCATTTTTTTTAATTCACAAAACTTGCAATATATACAAATATTTAAATAAATGCCTCTTATTTTTGCATTCGTTTTATACAGAAACAGTACAAATTAAACAAATTATGAGACTAATTTATTAGTCTGTTAAATAAAATGTATTGAAATATTTAAAAATCAATCGGCACTAGGTTTGCACAATCATTATAGGTACATGGTTCAATTTAAAAAAATTTATATGTTGGTTTTCAGCACTATTCGCAATTGTACGCATCCTTTCATACCTAAAAGTCCCTTTTGTTTATTGCACCTAAATTTAACCCGTTTTTTTTGTTCTACATACATACAAACGTAGAAAAATGTTTTTAAGTGTTTGCGTGTGTTGATTTTAATTCCACAATAGAATGTTTCGCCCTTTTTTAATGTCACTTTAGTCATTTTTATTTGTTTATTAGAAAAACGGGGGATAGAGTAACATAGAAATTGACATAGTAACAGTAGCCCAATTAAAAAAAAGGATTTATTTTTACAAGTAACCTAGACTTTGCTTGCTTAAGCTTTAATTTAATTTACTGCATTCAAACCCTTGCATGTTTATTATGCTTTATTTCTTTCTTCCATTACTCTCCTGCCATAAAGTGGAAATATAAACTAATACACTAAATAAGGATTATATAAAAACTTCTTCCAATATGTTTGTTTTTATATTTACTGCATGAGCGTCTCACATTAGCATAAATGCATGTGACACTTTAGCAAAGTACTTAGTATCAAATTTTATAGTAACTGCATTAGAGCAAACAAGAAAATGTAATAGATATACCTAGTATTTTGCTATTAGGAAGCTTTTATAAATGATCAGTAATATTTAATAAAACTAACAAAATAATAATTTTTGAATGATTTGCCCTATTTTTGGAAAAACAGCAAACAAATATTTTACAAATTTTTGTTCTTGAAACAGGTTATGCTTCACCAAGCTGAAGTTACTTCTCCTCGCGATAGAAATTAAAGGCAACGATGATGGAGTGGATTCAAAAATTTCTATTAATCCAAGAGGTGCGAAAATTCAAGCAAATACTCAGGGATTTTTTATTGCGCAATCAGCAGACGAAGTTAAAAGGTAAGTACTCTTCTTTTTATATGGCGCGCAATTAATAAACGTTATCTTAAAGGGCCTGGTTTTACTGCAAGGCGTGCCATGATGAGATTAAAGATGAAACTTTAATCAAGAAATGTAAATGCAAAAACTGTAAGTTTTACACTTTTTTGAAAAGAATTCATGCTAGTGTTAACTTCATACTTCAAATTCTTCGTTTAACATAATAATATAGTATTTTGAATACAGACTCATTTCAAATTTCTACTCATTTTATTTTGAAGTGACTCATTACCATTAATAATGTACACGATCATTGTTTTCACATGACACCCTTTTAATTCATGCATTTTATATATCTAATTAATAATTTGTCAAAGGGTTTTAACCCAATTTCTATTTAAAATGTTTGTCGTGGCTTTTAGTGGCAGTTCAGCAACGTAACTGGTCCCATGATCTAGGTAATTTGATCGCAATTTGACAATAGATCGTCTAGATCTGCCTGGGCCTGATGGATCAGCTCGTTTATTTCCTTTTTTATTTTGTGTGCTATTTACCTTTCTCAATTTTGCATTTTCACACAAACCAATATACTTTCTTTGTCATATATTTAGTCTGGGTTATGAGTAGACTAAAATTAACAATTATTACAGTAGTTTTCTTTCAAAATCAATTATACGAGTGTTTGTTAAACCTTGCCTGACTTACGGAATGTTCTTTTAATACACATACAGAACCCTTTGCACATTCTTTTGCATGGTTAGGATCATCATATTTAAATGAGTATCAATTTGAATTTGTAAGTATAATATATTTAGTCGTAATTAATACTTACTTTAATGTACCTACCTATAATGGAAGACTCGACTTTATACCCTGGGTTTCCATTTTATCCATATCCAATGGACAAATTAATTACTATACTTATTGACTGACTTCCAATCATGTTCAAATTGGGAGTGGTTTGTGGCTTTTTACAGATGTGGGAATGATCATGATGCAGACGGGCATGGTGAAACAAGGCCTTAACTCCATCTATCACAGACATCTGGAGGGTAGGCACCCTTCCACACATGCCTTGCTAGGCTGCTTACAAATTCTTTGCGTTCTGGATACATTTTATTATAAAAAAATATTTCACTCACAACTTTTACAACACTTATACCACGATTTGCACTTTTAACACATGTACACAGTTCATTTTTATTTTAAGCAAATTACTACGTTTATTATTATAAGATGTATATAAGAACGGCAAACTGCTTGAGAAACCTAACATTTGACACTTTAGATATAATGCACCTTACAGCTAACATGGCTTAGCCAACGCTGATGGCTCATACGCTAGACAGCAATTGCAGCAGCTTATGTAAATCAATAATTTTTTGTTACAATTTTTATTTGAAAAGTAAAGGTACTGCTGCGTATCCAAAATTTTTAAACCTACATACAGAGTTAAAAGGTATCACAATTATTGATTAGTATTAGTAGTATTAAATGTAAATGTAAACAAGCCATTACTGTTTGTTAACCAACCCAACCACAACTCAAACCTAAGCCCAGGGTTGGTCTGCAGTCTACAGTTCAATTTAATTTCCTTCACTTACATTAGAGGATAGGCACATCTTTGTTTAGTTACTTTTATTTAATCTGTGCGTCCAATTCTCAAAAAAATGGAGAAACAAGGATGTGTTATTCCACACAATAGCAGAGATTAATTGCTAGGAGCCCTTTGTAGAATTATTGAAGTTTTGCTAAAACTAACAGTACTTTTTATCTGGTTCGTTATATAGTGGCTACATTCAGGAAAGGCGTTCGTACCGTACAGATGGTTGGTCGAGCAAGTACGTATTTTCACAACACATAGCCCTTACACTCACATTGTCACACGAACACAACACACAACTGATGTCTACATATACATAGTTAGGTACCTACAAGTTTCACAATTTTGTCTATAGGCTACACATGCAATTATTGTAGCATATTTTGCACACAAATTTTTAAATAGCCATCTTTTTACATTACTACAACCCACAGCCTGTCTTCTATTTGTACATAAATATGTTTCTGTAAATGTTTTAGTGTTGTGTAATGCCAGGTCTAGTACTGTGTGTTTAGAAAAGTGTAGGTTCACGATGTCGTTCTAAATGTTTAGGTTTATATTTTGCAGTGTTGGTTTTCTGTAAAAGAAAAAGAAAATTTACTACATATCATATAACTTCTGTTACACATTCACAAAATAATTAAAGTTTACAAAAAGAAGGAAAGTAGGTTTATTAGTTTGCCAGACTTCGTTTGATACAGGGATATACGTATGTTAAAATAATCTTATAGACGTTATTTCTTAGTATTCTGAACGCACGTTGCTATAAGACTTGCATACTTATACGTTTTTAAGATGTCATATTGCATGGTGAGTGGGTTTTCTTACATAGTGTAGCGAACGTCAGTTCGTAGGCAATAGAATGACAAGAGAGAGTAGTCATTATTGGAATATTGTTTATATAACAGTTGCTTCACAACTTTCTTTCTGCACAAAATATCAGTAATCCAAAGTATACGATTGCCCAAGAATACATCTTAACATCCACAGATTTGATATAGGTACTTGGTAAACTGAAGTCCAAAAAGAATTGAAAGATGAAAAGAATTTTGCCATAGTAATCTCGAATGTTCTGACACATAGAACTGTAGAAAACTTTAGGGTGGTTGGCACATGGCTATTGTGAATTCTTTTGTTTAATCGAACACCAATCCGATGCCTTCTATTTCAACAGTACAAGTACAAATGGTACAGTTTGATACTGCTTGATACCTGCACGTGAAAAGTCTTCATTCAAGAATGATGAAACCTTTTTTTAATTCACATTGGACAACATAGTGCCCAAAAGCCCAGATTTAACTCTCCAAACAAAGGGCACAGAAACTGGGAGGGAAGTTCCAAGGTCATCGATTTCGTTCAATTGAAGCCTAAGCTTAGTTTCGCAGTGAGACCCTTGGTATGCTACATATCTAAAATATATCTCTGTATAGTTGAAACTGGCATAAGATTTTTTAACGTTTAGAATGAGAATTTCAGAAACTAATAAGGATAGAGAGATTTAAATGTCGGCTTCAATTTAAGTGTCTTGTTTTGTTTTTCGGATAAAAATGCATTGCCAACTAGATTTCAATCGGTAGATAAAGAAAAAAGTGCGCAGGAAAATTATACCTACACTAAGAATTGTTTGTAATTTCGAAACTTAAAAAAAAAGGTTAGAAGCACAAAGTTAATCCAGTTTATGCAAAGTAAGAGAGAAGTCAGGTTTAGGCTCCATTTATCGCACTTGCGCCATTGGAGTTGTATGATGTTATCTTATGCATCCCATGATAGCGCACATTTGGTTGAAAATGTAGGGAAAACAGAAAGAAATTTAAAGAATATAATTTGTAGCATAAGTTTAAAATGCTTATTATTCTTAAACAGATTAGGGTAATGTAATGTAATGTCCCATAACTGGGACAGCTGATTGTTTAATAAACTATTCGAATTATTATATTATTTTGGGCGATTGTGTGATCCCACCACATCTAAAGTGTTTGAAAAGTTCATAATTATTGTTTCCAAGCCTTTTTCTTGTATTCAAGAAGTTGGATACTGCAGTGGGCAGTTCAAAAATGTCACCATTCCCCTGTGTTGGAGAACAATTTTTGTTGCCTACTAACAGGCGATCGCAGTTTACCCTTTTTATATAGGTACAGTGTAAAATAACATCGACATACACAATTGCGTGCAACACAATTATTAATATCTATCACTTCAACAAAAAAATGTTCCTATGAAAATGGCCGCTATAACCCCAACTGTTTTTCTTTATTACGCGGGCTATCCAGGAAGTAAACAAACGTTTTAAAATAAAAAATTAAGAAAGTGTAAGAAACAACTTTTATTATATATATTTGGAAGGTACACTGTTAGGCTATTATTCAACATAGTCTCCATTCATATTGAGGCACTTACGATAACATGGTACAAGTGTTTTGATTCCAACTTGGTATAAATCCGCCGCCTGAAACTTTAACCACTGGTTAACCCTACACCATCTTGAAGTTCGGCATCACTGTCCAAGTGCTGTGTTGCGAGTGAGGCCTTCATCTCTGGGAAGAGGTGGAAGTCGCTTGGCGCCAGATCCGAGCTGTATGGGGGGTGACCAAAAATCTCCCATCCAAAATCACCCAAGAGCTGTCCAGGTTGACTGTGTGCGGGTGGCCGATGTCAGCAAAATACAAAACTTCCACCTCTTCCCGGCGATGAAGACCTGACTCGTAACACAGCGGTTCGATAGGGGCGCTGAACTTCAGGTCGGCGTTACCCAGTGCAGGTTAAAATCTCAGGCGGTGGATTTATAGAAGTTGGAATCAAAATACTTGTGCCACGCTATGATAAGTGCCTCAATTTGAATGGCGCCTGTGTTGATAAATAGTCCAAGAGTGTAGCTCCTAAACGTATATAATAAAAGATTTTCTTTACAATTTTTATTTCAAAACGTCTGGTACTTTCTGAACAACCCTCTTACATTCACACACACTCGCACACCCTGAGTGACGTAGCTCATGACACATTTAACATTTATAATTTAGGTACTAGAGATTTATATGTAGTTTTCTCATTGTCTTACTATTAACACCTTCCCTTAAAACACTTCAAACAGTATACTTTGGTGCTTGTTTAATTTTCTTTGGCCTGCAGGCGAGGACTTCACAAACTTGTTTCCAAGTAAGTTTCTCTGAAATACCTCAGTCATCGGCACTGTCGAGGGTTAATAATCGAATCACCTCAAATACTCATACTCTGTTTATAACTGCAAACAGTACCTACCTACTTAACTATTTTCCACTTCACATTCTCTATATAGTTCTAGTAACGCTTTCGATGTTTAGCGCATGCCTTGCGTTCTTGCATTTCTAGCATGTTTATACTTGCACAAAGTATATTTAGTATTAGCGATAATACGTAGCTTTAATATATTGTAAAGAAATTTTTTGGAGGCACTAATTTGAAAAGTTACAGTCAAGTCTTTCGAAATTGTCTAGCGTAATGTCTTACTAATTTCGTTTTTCAAACATTTTCAAATTAGAATTTATGTGAATTATAAAACTTAGATTACTTAACTGTAGGGATTTAGAAAAATATAGTTGTATGTTGGAGTTTGGTTTGTGGTTTACAGATGACCACCATCCTCCCCCAACTTTCACACCACCAGAGTTGCCCAAGAAGGTTCACGTCCGAGGTACTTCACTATAGAGCTGCTTATAAATGCACAGTTGTGACTTTTTCCTTTACCTGCACTTAAATGCAAGCAAATTTTTGTTGACGCTTGCACAAAACATGAAGTTGCAATTACATCATCAAATCAAATTTTTATTCTTGATATACTCTGCCCAATATCCAATGTTCCAATTTCCTGTGCTTGACACTTTTATTAGTATAGCGTTTCTTTAGTTCTTTATTATAGTTATAAACCTGGCGATGTAGAATAATTGTAGCTCATTTTCTGTACTTTAATTGAACTTGAGATAATATGACCACACACGCAGTGCCCAATTTACAATATAACAACTGTTTGGCTTTATTTGCATGTGAACAAACATAAGCAGTTGATTAATCTTACATTTACAATAAAAATGTTACACGTACAAAGTGATCTATCACAACCAAGCCAATCTCAATACTGAGATATGCGATAGATAGAGATAGCATATTCTAAAGAAATTCTTACTTACAAACATGACTGCAGTATATAAGTAGAAGGTAGATTACATTAAACCCTTCAACTTGACATCCCTATTGGACAACGTAGAAACTAGGTTTTAATAAATAAATAATAAATTTTAAAAAAACGTTTTGCTGCATAGTAGAGATTATTAAAGCAGACAATTTGTGGAGTATGTCATCTTTACAAGAAATACAAGGGAAATCCCAACAGTAAGATCTCCTTTTTTTTATAAATACAAAAACCCGTTTAATTCTACAATATTTGAATCATTTTGAAATTTCGCGACTGGAAAATGATGGATCTTTTGGTTATTTGTTCTCAACGTTGAACACCAGTTTCTCTGCATCTACACTGCATTGTAGATTTTACTTTTGGAATTACCCTCACATTTCAAATTAAATTGCATGAATGTGAGAGATCTCTACCAATTGACGATGGCCATTAAAGGTGCAAGATGCATCTCATTATATTTACGCATTTGATTACAGTAAAAAGCAGAAAAAATACATAAATAATTTATTTGATTGTTTCAATTAATGACTCTAATTTACAAATAATAGTACGATTTTAATAATTTATTTTCTGAAAATCATTATTTTTGTTGGTTGCGGATGTAAGTAATTAACGTACGTAGCTAATGGTGAAAATGGAAAATTATTAAAACTGCATATGTTTTTCCACATTTTCTTAACGTTTTTCGATACCGATCCATAGATGCAAAGAAATAAAATTTTTCCATTTTAGGTGACATTGGCCGCCACGACGATTTAAACTGTAAGTATGTCTACCATTTGGACGATCACGTTTTATTAAGCTATGTATTGTACAACTCCTTAGTAACACACAGAAATCAAAATCACAGAGCCAACGCGCTCCCAACGGCAAATATGGTAAACTCGACTAAACAAGTGAATAAAGTTAAGCCGAACGTGAATAGAACGACTACCGATAGTTTGGTATCGCCGGGTTTCAACTCCAGGTAACTTTTGACAATTGAACTTAATTATAATTTCATATTATGGTATACTTACATGTACTGAAATTTGTTTCAAAATTAAAATAGTGTACAAGATCTAATATTTGCAACGAGATCACCCCGCATGAGTATGTTTCATTTTGCATAATTAATAATATACATTTTTTTAGAAATGTACAATTATTCATTAAAATGGTGAGTTTCAGAATTTTACAGAACAAAACTGGTAATAAGCACTTCTGTTGAGGGTGATGATGGTTTTCAGTACCTATGCAATAATTTAATATTCATTGATATATTGGTTTGACATGTGGTGTGCTATTAGCAGTGTGCTGTTTTCAGACCGCCGGAGCAGGATACTACGTCTTATGCCGGCTATCATCTTGCCTATGAAGTCAAAAAACTCATGTATGCTTTTGCTATTACTTAACACTTTTCGGTACTATACTATTTGCTTGCTGTGCTTAGATAATCAATAATATTTTATATAAATTTTGTTAGTGGATTTCTTTGATACGCTTCTTGTCATTCTGTTGCATTTTCGTAATTATTTGTTACTCTTAAATAATATAGGTATTGCAAGTCAGTGGAAACTATAGTTGTTTTATTAAAAAGCAAGTTCATATTACCTATATTAAGTTTTGCGATCTTTAACTTTGCCCTTTGTAGTACATCAAAACTGTATGGCACAGTAAAATTAATATACAATTAATGCACAAACTAACAATTTAAAATTTTTGAATTATTTTAGCTTTTTATGTTTAATTTAAAACGGTAGTAATCAATGATTAAGCAACTCTATGTGTAATTAACATAATTTAATTTTTGGCGCTTTTTGCTGCTAGTCAAACCAATAGACTAAATTTGACATGTTGAAATTTTATAGTTTAGTATCGTGCCATACAAACATACACGAAATTTTTAATAAATACTTGATTAGAATGTACTATGAAAGAACAACTAATTGCATGGTCCTTTGGGCATGATGATACTAATTAGATAGTTATTGAGTTTCCATGCAACAAAAAGTATCTATTCACTGTTCGCTAAAAAGTTACAAGTTTGTGTGATATTGTGTCTATGTTTCTTTATATTTTTTACATACCTACATGCTGTGCTAATACATATACTTAAATTTGTTCATTTTTAAGCTTTAAATATTTTAAACCGTACAGTTTATTTACTCCTTAATATCCATTAAAGTAAAAAGCTAAATTAATACTTTTGTAAATAGACATTTCTTTGTTGGTATGGGTAGAGATACAAAATGTAAATAACTTCTGGGAGGTTCTTCAATACAATAGTAGTAATTCTGGTTTTGACAAACAAATATAAAAACCCAACATCCGATATAAATATGAAATGTCTCGATAGGAAGGACCTAATCGCCAATTGTATCGATGAACATCTCCAGAATACACGACTATCTCTATTTTACCATTAAACGCTCGGCTAATTCAATTCATTGTTTACACTGTGTGGTACTCGAGTTGAAACATTTTTGAAATTTGCAGGCCGACTAGTAGATCAAGCGGAGGAACCAATCAGAATAACAATGGTGTTGCTTTACCGGTAGGCTTAGCCGATGATCAAGCGAAGGATTTCGATTTTGAGAAGACAGAAATGAAGTACGACAGTACCGGAATGTTCCATTGGGGGCCGGCTAAAAATTTAGAAGACTGTATACTTGTAAGTGCAGAACAGCCATATTGGTATCTGTGTACAAAAATGTTTCCAGGATCGAAATCAAGCCGCAATGACTGTATTAAACGGACATGTGGTGGTGTGCCTATTTGCTGATCCAGATTCTCCATTAATAGGACTTCGAAATTTAGTTATGCCATTAAGAGCTAGTAATTTTCATTATCACGAATTAAAACATGTAGTTGTAGTTGGATCGATAGAGTATATCAAACGAGAATGGAAAATGTTGCAAAATTTACCGAAAATATCTGTGTTAAATGTAAGTATTTAGATGTCCAATAGATATTCAGCACATTGCGGTTTTTATAATATTATGTCGATGGTTTTACAATGCTCTAAAGAAAACTCAGACTAGGTATGGACTGCTCAAAAAAACTCTAAAAGTATAGACCTGATTACGGATTTTTTTAAATTTTTAAAGAACGATAGGTACATAACGTTGATGAAAATATAATAATAATAATGTTTATTTCCACCAAAAAAAAACGGAAAAGGGAAAAAATATATACAAAAAAATATGCAAAGACGAAGAAGAGCGGCGCCTCCCTCGTGGAACTCCAGTTTTCATGTTTTTCTGTATAATCTGCACTCTGAAGGACAAAAGGTAAGAGCCGCGAGGCGGTGGCGTGCCGAATTCAGGGGGGATGCGCTGTAAGAATCGTGAAAACCCGGTTGGCGTGAAGTGCGTGCACGAGGTAATAAATGGTTTAAAAATTTGTTACGGGCGAGGGAGGGGAAATACAAATAACTTGACATTGCGTACGATTGGCTCCGTCTGCGTGTAGGAATTTTTCGACTCAAAATGAGCTTTTTGGGTGATTTTCTCTAGGGCAAAATAGAAACTGGTGTTTTAGGAAAGGGGACCGGACGCCGTAATGGGAGGAGGGCATGTCGAATTGCGGTTGTAATGGCGTACTTGGATTCGCCGTGGGACAGTGCTTTCCACGTTTTATTGAAGGGAGGGGGGGCATGAAAGGAACGAGAAGGCTCGAGGAAATGTCATAATTTCTTTGAAAACATTGAAAATTCCTTCAGCGACCGAACTGTTTGAGCGGCGGTGGGGTGTGGTGGTAAAACGATGGCAAAGTGGCGTAAATAAAAATATGCCAAAAAAAGCAAATCACTCGAGCGGTTGCATCCTCGCTACACCTCACTTTCGGTTTTTTTGGTACAAAATGCATACACTAAAAGCTATGACAATGGTACCACGGCTAAGGCGCATAGGAGGGGGGAAGTGAATTTGATTTTAGGGTGAAAGCGAAATTTCCACGTGAAAGTTTTGAATCAAAAACGGTTTCGTAGTGTGAAGCAAGGCAACACGTAGATACACAATTAACACAGTACACACATTACATACACATATTTGTTGAGCGATTGGCTGAAAATGTTCAAGGATGACTTCACCCCATCTAAAACATTCCACTAAAAAGTACACACCTAATATGGCACAACAGAGACACAGAAACCATTTTTTTTATTTGCAATAAATACAATTAGTACAAACATTTGACAAAAATCACGATAACATCGACCAAATGTGTTTAATATGTTTTGTAATTGGAAAACTTGTAATAATTAGGCTTTCTTCCATCAACTTTATTCATGGTATGTTTTTACATTCGGCATTGCTTTATAAAGGTTGTGATATCGTTGTTTAAACCTGGCCAATAAAATAATTTTCTAGCATTGTTTATAGTTTTGCTGGTGCCAATGTGTCCTTTATGCATAACTTTCATGAGACTATTCCTCAAAGCATTCGGGACAATAAGTTTGTCATAAAAAAAACCATGCCGGCTTCAACGAAGATGGAATCTTTAAGTTTATAGTAGGGTTTACAGTCATCGGTCAGAGAACTTTCTTTTGGCCATCCGTAGAAGTAATAATCAATAATCTTTGAAAGTGTTTCATCTTTGCTAGTCGAAGATCTTAACTCGGATTGCCTTTCGATGCTCATAGGCATATGTTTGCTTACAGAGTGTACCATTTCCAACATTTCGGGATCATGCTCTTTGACTTTCAGACTTGATCGAGATAACATGTCTGCAAAATGAATGTCCTTACCAGGCACATAATAGACATTTAGTGTATATTTTAGGAGTTTAAGTCTTAAACGCTGTAATCGTACAGAACCGATTTTACAGATAGGTTTTTTCATGATGGAAATTATAGGTTTATGATCGCTCTGGACGTCTACAGCAAAACTATATATAAAGTCGTGAAATTTTTGAGTACCATAATATATCGATAAAAGCTCTTTTTCTGTTTGGCTGTAGTTTACTTCATGATCATTCATGCTCCGAGAAGCACAAGCCACTAACTTTAACACTTTATTTTCATGCTCCTGGAACATACAACATCCTATCCCATTTTTAGAAGCATCGCATTGTAAGATTTTTTTTCTTTTTAGGATCAAATGGTAGTAGTGCTGGGGATTTAGTAATTATCTCTTTTAACTTGTCGAAACATTCTTGTTGTAAAGGAAGCCACTTGAAGTCAACATTAGATTTTAACAGTTCACAAAGAGGTTTAATGTGATCGGCCATATTTGGAATGTACTTCCTAACATAATTGAAACTACCTATAATTCTCTGCAGTTCGGTTTTATCTCTTGGGCTTTGTAATTTGCGAAGAGACTCTACCCTCTCTGGATCTATTTCCATGCCCTTCTCTGAAAAAACTTGTCCCATAAATTTGACTTGCTTTTGGCAATACTGGAATTTTTCTTTGTTAAATTAAGCGCCCACTTCTTTTGCTCTTCTTATCACTTGTTCGGCTGCCCTGTCATGTTCCTCTTTGTCTATTCCCATGATTATCATATCATCATGGAGCAGCTGCACATTTTCCAAGTCACCAAACTTACTTTCGATCTGTTCTTGGAATAAGTCTTGGGAATTAGAGAGTCCTTACGGTAAAACAGTGTATCGATAAATGCCAAAGGGGGTGGCAAAGCAACATTTCCAAGAAGAACTGTCGTCTAATTCTAGATGGTGGTATCCTTCAGCCAAATCAAATACGGAAAATACTTTTTTGCCTGTCATTCCGGAACAAACTTCTTCAATTTTTTTTACTGGATGTGGTTTTCTTACAATTTGGGTATTAAGGTCCTGGGGATCTAAACAAATTCTTAACTTACCGTTACTCTTTTCGACGATAACCATTCGGTTTATGCTAGCTCGCGGGTCTATCTCTTCAACCTTCACGATAGCCTTCCTCTGTACAAGTCTATCGAGCTCATCTCTCAAAGCACTTTTTATAGCAAATGGAACCCTTGTAGGGGGGTAGCTAACCGGTTTCAATTTTTTGACCGTTGTAATTTTATACTTTCCCTCAAACCTACCATAACCAGAAAAAATGTTGGAATTCTCAGATATAAATTTATCTTTGTCTCGGTTTTTGTTATACTCTTGAATATTTACTTTATTGATTCTTTTCAAGAGACCAAGATCAACACAAGCTTGGCCACCTAATAAAATTTTGTTAACCCCTTCTATGATTACAAAATCTTCATAGACATTTTTGTTTTTATATTTACAAAATAGGTTTACAGTGCCAATACTTTTAGCCTGAGTGCCTTCAAATTCCTTAATGATATAATTGCTTTTACTCACAATCGGTTAGTATTATCTGAATTCCTAACCTTCATAGCGGTTGCGAAGCGACTCATTACTCACCTTAGCCGGGAAAGTAACTTTCCCGGCTAGCTGTCACTTTCCCGGCTAGCTGTCACTTTCCCGGCTAGCATCTGTCACTTTCCTTACCTGCAAATGCTATTCATATTATCCTTATATGAAACTTATACTAATAGTGACACCGCCAATGTAACCATTAATGTTTACAACAATAGCAAATTACGAAGAAGAACGAAACTATTTGCTATTGTTGTAAACATTAATGGTTACATTGGCGGTGTCACTATTATTGACAGTTAAAGTAACACCTTGTTGAATTATATACTTTACCTTAAATGATCGATTGTGAGTAAAATAGTATACAAACCTCGCTGGTCAGTGGTTCATAACCAACGCCTCGCGCTTATACCTCACCTCCGCGCTTCGCGCGTCGGTGAGGTACCTTAAGCCCTCGGGGTAGGTAATGAACCACCTCCCAGCTCGGTATGTAATCTACTATTACGTACCTTAAATTGTTTGTCTATTTTATCAAAAATTTTGCGCGGGATCACAGAGACGTCAGCTCCTGTGTCCAGTTTTACCTTGAATTTCGTGTCCTCAATTTCGACAATCTCGTCCCAAAGGTCCTTAGAACTACCTAAAAAATTAACATGATTGACAAATAAACTGCTACAGCTATCTTCACTATCGCTGTTGACATTTTGTTGCACATTTTTAATATTTCTCACTCGGCAAGCAATTGCGAAATGGTTTAAAATTCCACACTTTGTGCAAGGCTTCCTGAACGCAGGACACTCCCGGGGGCCATGCATACTTTGACAACGCTTACACTTAAATTTTTCCTGTGCTTTGGTGTCGTTTTGTTTGGAGCCCTTTCTCTTGTCATGCCTTTTTGTAGCCGTGTTTACTTCTGCGCTTTCTTCAGAAAACATTTTGTTTTGATTTCTACTCATTTCACTGGCACGACAAATATCTATAGCTTTATTTAACTTTAACTTATCAACCCTTAGCAAGGCTTCTCGTGTAACTGTGTCACGAATACCCATGACAATTTTATCCCTTAAAGCTTTTTCTTCAACAGTTTCATCTGGGTCTATTGTGCTGTAATTGCAAGACTTCACGAGATGTTTTATGTCAGTTAGAAAATGTTCGAATGATTCACCTTCTTTCTGGTTCCTACTCAGAAACTTGTGCCTTTCAACTACCTCATTAAAACGTGGATTTACATATGCCTCCAATTGTCCCATCATATATTTGTAAGGATCATCTGTTCCATCGGGTATTGCAATGGTGCACATAATTCGCGAAGATTCGGTACCAATAATATTTCTCAGAATCGCTAACTTTACATTGGTATTAGGTTCATGTTGCCCTGTAGCAACCAAGTAGTCTTCGAAGGCGACCTTCCAAAACTTCCACTCCATGGCCGCATTCTGCCCTTGCAGGTCAAAATCAGGGGGTAGCTTTACTGGTCCGTGAGTATACGACTGCGCCATGTTTAATATGTTTTGTAATTGGAAAACTTGTAATAATTAGGCTTTCTTCCATCAACTTTATTCATGGTATGTTTTTACATGTGTCACTTCTCTTAACATTAACTTATGCTAGGCGATTACACATGATTGCAACATGGTATGGTTGCAATACCAAACAAAATGTAATGTAGATTTCTTTGACCACATAATTGAGATGGTTTCAGTGTCCGTCAGTTTATTCTACACAAATACAAATAACAATATGTACAATGTATATTTATTACTTTGTTGATTTATTACAAACTTTTCTTTAGGGTTCACCGCTGAGCAGAGCAGATTTACGCGCGGTAAACGTGAATTTATGTGATATGTGCTGCATTCTGTCTGCAAAAGTGCCAAGCAATGACGATCCAACGTTAGCAGATAAAGAAGCAATTTTAGCCTCCTTAAATATTAAAGCGATGACGTTTGATGATACTATAGGTGTTCTTAGTCAAGTAAATGGAGATGCCGATGGAACTCCTGGTAGTCCAATAGTGCTACAAAGGAGAGGGTCAGTGTATGGCGCAAATGTACCTATGATAACAGGTATTTATAACGTGTGGGGAAATATGAAAGGTTAAATTCATGATATTGTAGAATTGGTGAATGATAGTAATGTTCAATTTCTGGATCAAGACGATGATGACGATCCCGATACTGAGTTATATCTTACACAACCTTTCGCCTGTGGTACAGCGTTCGCCGTTAGCGTGTTGGATTCCTTAATGTCTACAGTAAGTTCGCCAAAATGCGGTATTCTTTTTAAGAATTTTTCTTTCAGACTTATTTTAACCAAAATGCCTTAACTTTGATACGATCGTTGATAACAGGTGGAGCAACACCAGAACTAGAATTAATATTAGCAGAAGGTGCGGGCCTTCGTGGCGGCTATAGGTATGATGCCCAGAAAATAGTAGTTTGTGATATATATATACCGATGAGTTTTTAGCACACCTGATAGTTTATCTAATAGAGATCGATGTAGGGTCGGTCAAATATCGCTATATGATGGTCCATTAGCGCAATTTGGAGAAGGTGGAAAATATGGAGATTTATTTATATCTGCGCTTAAACAATATGGAATGCTATGCATAGGATTATATAGATTTCGAGATACTAGTAATTCCTGCGATGCTAGTAGTAAACGTTACGTAATAACTAACCCTCCAGATGATTTCCAATTATTGCCCTCGGATCAGGTAACATAATAGTGTATTTTTGCTTTTGAGTTTTACAAGCAACGTTGCTAACGACAGTGTCTGTGGCGCCATGATTGGAAACTGTTAATAATGACATTTTTCAATTAATAATTAGTTTTTTTTTCATCATGTGCCTAAAAAACTATTCAAAATAGAATGTAATGACCATGTAGAAAATTTGAAGCCGATACAAATACTTCAATATTTTATTTAAAATTATGAATGTAGATAGGTAAATTGAGGAAAAATCGTTTTTTGAACATTTCAAAGGCAACCTTGATTTTTTGAAACTAAAATTGTGTCACAAATTAGTTTTCAACCAAGAAGGGCTGATCACCAGAAGCTCAAAACTCAATTCAAACATTTTTACAAGAGACAACCAAACAATTGATGGAGACAATGCATGTTAAAATATAAGCAATACCTCTGTTTAATCGTTTAAAAATTCAATATTACCCCCATTCGTTTAAAAAAAGGGATAATTATCACCTATATCATTTTTGAGTTTGTCTTAGAGAAGTAAGAAACTTACATAATTAAACTTCTTGAAAAACGTTCATATTCATATACCAAATATAATCCTACTTGACCTTAGACACCTCCTATACGCTATTAAAAAATATTTGGATGAACAATGTTGGTGTAAAATATTAAGCTTCTATTATGATAGTAGTGTACAGCCATTAACATCTTATATTTCAGGTGTTTGTGTTAATGCAGTTTGATCCTGGATTAGAATACAAGCAAGTACGAGGACGACATAGAACAGGTCAAGGAAGTGGGACGGGAGGAGGAGGCACCAATAAGGATGATAACTCTTGACTATTACTTTGTAGCGCCCTCACAGATGGCCCCTATTCCTATATCTAAAATAATTACCATTCCAATACCTTTGTTCCTTAATTTATACCATTGTTACAAGGTGTGTTATATTTTATAATAAGTAGCTCAATCTCATTTTATTGTTTTAACATCTGGATAATTTAATTATAAGTATATTTTTTCCCAACCATTTACAATGCATTCTGAAAAACAAAAATGAAAACGAGATATTTGGAATCAATAAATAACTGCACATTGTACATGGTAGTTAATGTACCACTGCTTCTATAACGTGTGATACATTGTCTTTCTTAAAAAGAATTTAAAATTTTTGGTACATTATCTGCTATATGGATGGTTCAGAATGCAATTCTTTTTGTGTGTTAGATCTTGCCAGTACACTTTACATGAAAAGAGGGCGCTACAAGTAAAAATAAAATAGTGCTTTTATACATATTTACCTAAATATATTATAAATTAATCGAACATTATTAGGTAGATCACATCGGCAGTACCTAATTTAAAAAAAAAATAAACAGTTCTAAATACTGCTAATCACACTATACCAAACGCAGTGGTGTACGCAAACAGACAGAAAAAGTTTGAGCTTTTAGAGTAATTATTGTTAATGTACCTAGTTACGTGTTAGAAACAAAAATCAGAGGTGGGTAATGACCTAATAACTAATTATCTGTTGTTTTTTATAAGTACCTACCTATAGCTTTTGTACAATTTCTGTGTAAGATATATGAAGACAGACTGTAAAATATGTACAGTTTTAATCTTAAATTGTGATATTGTAAATAAGTAATTATAAGGGTAAGCCTGTCTCATTTTGCTGAATTATGTATTGTGTGAATAAAATATTATATAGACACTAGATATATTAAATTTATTTTAGCAATTCTTTATGTAATACACCAAAATATACACTTTAAAATTGAACAGATTTTAAAATGTGCTTTAACCAAATAAATATACATATATTTCTAAAGTAGAATTTTAAATCCATCTCTGTATGCCCACCATGGGCAATACCAATAGAAATATCATACAATCTCTCACAAGTGTGTCTTGTTTTGTAATTACTATGCTAAATTCATTTCAATTACCTACTCATCAACAATTATTATGTTTAAGCATTACCTGTTGACATTTGGCCAATAAAATATAATTGTCTAATTTGAACACACAAAAAACATATCAAGTAAAAAACATGTTGTTTGTCTTAACACAGTTATTGAAATGAAATTAGTTTAAAGTGAAAAAGTTGAGAAGCATCTGCGAGTAGATTAAACATAAAAAGAACTGTAAGTAACTAAACATTTTACTTAAAGTACTTTTCTGTATATTTATAATAATAATGCATTAAAATAATTTTTTACATAACAGTGATAACACTTAGAATTTGCTCTGATTAAATATTGCATTATCATGGCACTGAGCAATTGACTTTATTACTGTTGTTGATGTTATTTATATTTGTTAAATATAAAGATACAAATTGTATGTAAAAAATGAAAATAAAAATATTTGAATATAACAAATAATCTTACCAGCTCCATTGATCCCAGTTCTGAATTGCAAATACAGAATACAAAACGCATTTTCAGAAGTATTTGCAACGCCATTACACATTACATCATAATTTATGTATTTAAAATACGGCCCGAGCCCTGTTAATCTGTTACAACATTAATCGTAAACGATTTACAAAAAGCCCATTTTCTTTAATTAGATTAGGCGTTTCTAAATCAACAGCATTTTTTCCAAAATAATTGGTTACCCAGCCAAATATATTTCAAATGCAATTTTCCTTTTTTTAAAAAGCATCTTCAGCACATCTAAATTTGAATAGCTATGTTTATTTATTACCCCCTCGCGCACGTATTACGTGTCCGGCGTCATGCGCAGTAGACATAAACGAGTACTAAAACGTGTTGTTAGTTATAAAATCTAAAGTAGTATTCCTTGACAATTCGAATCGAGCAATCATATATGTGAGTTGCAAGTTATTTTACAGTTTCTTTCTGATCATTGATCAAGGACAAAATGTGAGACGGGAATTTTAAAAAAGCTACAGCGCAGATTCACGAATACGTTGAGGACGTTTCAATTTGTCTAAAAATTCACTGCGCATCCCATATCAATGAATAAAGAATAACTCATTGTCCCATATGAGTTAAGTACCTATCCATTTTAAATAGAGGTCAGTGATCTTCATTTGAGAAAAAGTAGTCCATAAATGAGAAAGTTATGTCTGCGCATGCTCAATCCATTTTCTGATACCTAGTTTCAATTTGTGTATGCGCAATTTATTATTTTTTGCCACGTGTGTGTTTCATTTATTTTTTAGGTATCACTTTTGACATTTCCTTAATATTTTAAGAAAATAAGCTCGCTCTAATAATCTAGCTTTGCCTCTTGCATGAAATTTAGAGTTGCGTAACTGAGATGGTTATAATTTGGACTTGTGATCATATAATTATCTTAATATCTACATATATATGAATAAAATATTGTAAAAATATTATTTTATTATCACCTATTAAACATAATTAGACCCAATAAATACAATACGTACATATGAAAAAATAATTGCTAGTGAGTTCATTTGTTTCAAGGCATCTTAGATATATAATAACAAATTACAACATTAAAATCAAGAAAACACAGCACACTTATTTATATAATTTACGAAAGCTAATGAGATCTGTATCACAATTACCAATTTTATGTAAAAATTTATTTCTCTTTAATTTCACTTCCACAGGAACAGTTGCGGAAGATGTAGATTTAGCCTGTACTCTTGGTGTTATAGGCGGTTTACATTGATTTGCAGATGGAAAACTTATTGTTTTTATAGGAGGCAGTGAAACACAATTACTTTTACAAGGTGATGACAGTTTATATTTCTTTCTTATTGATGAGTTGTTCACTTTAGCTTTGGCACTTGATACGTAAGGTAATGAGGAATAATCACACTGTTTATCACTTCGAATCCACTTTGTAGATTGTATAGTCGAATGTGAGGACTGCTGTCTGGTACTGAGATAGTTTGATCTACATCCAGATTCCTCCAAAAGAATAGGTGATACTTTCAAAAATTCCTTTAAGTTGTTAGAATTTGTCAGTATAGGTTTTGAAGTTTTAAGGCCCGATGAAACATGATGTACGTCAGTGAACGTAGTCCCAACTGGTTCAACAGTGTATGGTTTGATACACACTTCTGGGCTTTTATTAGATCTATCGTTAACTTGATCATTCTGTGTAGGGGTGCTATTGTTCGAATTTTCCATTATGCTGAAAGTATATTTTGATGTTATTATCGATAAAATTAAAAATCACATGTTACCTTATCTGTGGAAATGTATCAATCCATTGTTTGTATTCTTGCTTGTTGTAATGAGGAGGAATCGCTTCTTTTCCCTGTAAAACTCTTTCCATTCGTTCAAGTTCACATTGTACTTTAATTGTTGCTTCGCCATCAAAATCATCACTCCAGCTTATCGAACTAGATGAGCTTTTTCCGAAACTAACGATATCTAGATCGGATTCATTAGTCAGACTATCACAATCGAAAGAGGTTGGTGAAGGTGTACGTCTTTCGTTGTGCTTCGTAACTTCGTTATCATTTGCATTCAAATTTAATTTCTCTACACCGGGTAAAGATTGAAGGAATTCCTTTGAAAATTCAAAGTTGTGTTTAACTGTCCGATTTCTATTTTTTTGCATTATTCATTACAATAGCTTAAATGAAAGTCTGATGTATGGTGTTTGTCTGTGAACTGGAAATATTGATTATTTTACAGTCACAGGTAAACGAATCAATAAAAGTACGCAATCCAGACAGTTTTTTTATCTACTGTCTCTGATGTGGTAATGCGAAACTTAACTTGTGCTTTGAGTTTTATTAATAATTTCGCAAATGGCCTTCGTTTAAAATTTAACTTTTCCCTCAATTTGAGCACTGGTTTGATAATTTCCGGAAGCGGCCGATTTATGAAAATTGGTCCTTGTAGCTTGTCCACGTAGAATACGGGTTGATACACTTAATTTTTGCCATTTACCGGGCGTTGATTATCGGTTTTTAATTTAGAAGTTGAAGAACTATAACCGGAAGTGTCACATCACCACCTAAACGTCAAACTCAACTGATCTTTGACTTCGGCCAAAGTAGTGTAGTTCTGTGCACCGCTAACGTCTTAAAAATTTAAAATTTTGTACGGTATTGTCCCTAGTCATCTTAACTCCAATACAAAGACTTTATTTTCTCCCCTTCACGTTAATAACTAAATACTTAAAGGTGGGTATCGTTTATTATCTCGGTCACATTAAGAGGTTAACTGATGTGTCATGTTGTCATGGCATGTTTTACGTTTTAATTTTTAAATTACCCAACACCCCAAAGCCTGTTTTAGAAGATTAATTGTAACTCCACGTATCCAACTACGTTTTGCATCCATTCCAAAGTACCTTGCGTACAAAGCAATCTGTTGCCAAGGTTTTTAATAACGCCTATTGTCTCGATCTGATTTAAAATAACTACTACCTTTGTGTTCTTTTTCAGTACAATGTTTATATGGGACTGGTTTACTGGTGTTTTAGGATACTTAGGTGAGTAACTTTTTGTGTTATGTATTGTGTAGCGATTTATATTTAAATGACAAGTTTCACGTAGGGTTCGTGAATCGTAGAGGGAGATACGTTATTTTAGGATCTCCCAAATCGGGAAAAACAGAACTAATGAAATTGTTAATGAGCGAACATTTAATCGAACCAATACCGTATTTCCGTGCACAAATCAAAAGTAAGTTCACGATTCGATGTTACTAATTGCATGTTTTGCACAGGCTTATGGAAGAAATCAGGCAAGCTGCTCTTCCTAGGGCTGGATAATGCAGGCAAGACTACACTACTACACATGCTCAAGGACGATCGGCTCGCTCAGCATGTTCCCACGTTGCATCCCAGTAAGCTAATTTTTTTTAGTTAAAATTTTAGTAGAAACTAATTCTTGTTATTTTTGGTAGGTAGATAGTTCTTTGATAATAATAATAATAGTTTATTGATCAACAATATATAATAATATAGGTATAATGCACGTGATTAATTTTGTGATTTACGAAATTCATTTGAATAACATTTATCGTACGAAATTTAGCGATTCCGTGTTAAAGAGAAACCTCTTTTTTTTTCTTAAATGTGGACCTAGGATTCTCAAAACATGGATGGTTGGGGTTGTGGAGTCGAATTAATAAAACGACGTGACGTGCTTTCGTCTTAATGGCCGGATGCAAAAGGCCGTGTTCCCTTTATTCAATGTCATGGTTGCGATCGCTGCGTTGCCAAGTCACATACATACATAATTATATGAGTGACAGTCCTGAGGAGTGTTATCAGGGAATGAGTTGTGGCAAAGGTCAATTGAATTGAAAAACACGCACAAAAACGCACTAAAAGTGTATGTAACATCAAAATATAAACATTTTTTCAACAATAACGAGCCCAGATTACTAGACTATGTAAGCAAGTTATATTTTCAATACTTTTAACAGCTCTTCTATTTAAAATATTTCAAACGTTGATGGATAGCACACTACTGAGTTTTTTTCTTATGAACCGCTTTTGTGAGAGTCTACCAGTTGTTTGTGTCTGTACCAATGTACTTTAGCTCCAAAAGTTTTTCATCATTTGTTTTTTCTTTCAAAATTGATGCATCTATGACTATGGACACAATACGTGTATAACAATGTGTAAATGCCACTTACTCCGATTTTATTAAAGCAAGTTTTATGAAAGCTATGCCTGTTGGAAAGCAGGTGTAGCATTATTACTAAAGCGTATGTTGGAAAACGTGTAAAAATTTCTCTGATATATCATCAGTTTTAATCGCAATACTAACAGGCTGTTCCTCACAAGTTCAAATCTCGTTGTTACATCTGTGTAAATAGACGATGGAAACCGCTGTGAATAAAGCCAATATTGTTGAAACCTGTGTTATTTTTTCATGTAAATGTGTATGTGTTTGGCTCATACATGACAACTCCATTTACATAAAAATTCTGAGCTCTTTAGTTGCCCACATATAGCAATTAATTTAACCATATTTTGCCATACTTCTTGCCCATGAAACGGCTGTTTCTTTCTTCAAGAAAAGAGAATCAGTATAGTAGGCCAGTAAATGAGGGGGGTGTAGAACGGAAATGTGAGCACAGCATTGGTCTTCTTCAAAACTTTGTTCCCACAAGCTAAAAAATGAACACACTAAAAGTGGTCGCATTTTGGACCTGCGTTGGAGGTAGGAGAGCGGTAAAAAGTCATGAAAAGGGTGCATTTTTAGCGCATTTTCCAACTCATGGTGGAAGGCGCTATTCGAGGGGATAACATCTTCTTACATTTTTTGACAGTATTGCGACAATCCCTACGATTGCTGCTATACACAGACATATACCTAAGCAAAAAACATATTTATTTATGTTGGCCATTAGGGAATTCTTAATTGATAATATAGATAGCTTTACAATCTGCATTCCATTTTTGACGTTGCTGCTTCAATTTCAGTTTATAAAAGGAATCCTACCCTAAAATTTCAGGGTATTTCTTGGCATGCGCAAATCAAATTTTTGATTTGGCATTAGTTTCACCTTTATTCGAGATGCCTACATACAAATTTTCATTTAAATAACTTAACAAATAAAAAAATGCGATTGCGCATGCGCCCAACATATTTTTTGACTGCACTAGTTTTACTTTTAGTCGACGTCGTCGCCATCTACATCTACAGCGTACCTACAAAGTTTCATTTAAGTATTTAACAAATAAAAAAATGGATTGCGCAAATACAAAAGCTATCGTGCACACGGACGGGCAAATAGACAGACAGATACACTGACAGATGGACAGACAGACAGACAGCAATACAATACAATCTCGAGGATCGTTAATAAACGGCATAGTTGTTAAATTATGGCACTGCATATATGAAAAAAACTGTTTTTTTTATCATAACTTTTTTTGTAAGCGGCACAGAAAAAATTCCTTTCTTTGTTGCAAACCTTGACAGCATAACGAACCAAATCGCGAAAAAAGTAGAAGAACTAGGGACGGACAAAGTGGCCACAATAGTACATGTTTTTATTTTTGTGGAAATGTGCTAAAAAGAAGAGTATTTCAATGGAACAACTTCTATACAATCCGATAAATCTAATACGGAGGTGGTCCACTCGAATCACACATACTGAAAGGCAAACTAAGTGGCATGTGCTCTTTTTGGGCCAATGTTAAAAAATGACACAATCAAAATTTGAAAACATTCGCTCGCTAAACAGATACAAGGAAAAATTGTCAATACCAGAATGAAAAGAGACACGAAAAAATGTTTATTACAAAATTACTTGCTGGGTAGTCTGCCATTTTCAAAATAGGTAGGTACATTATACGATGTCAGCAAAAAAGTTACTGGACCTCATTTTTTAAATAGAACACCTCGTATATTTTAAAAAAATTCAAGATGGCTACCTTTAAGGAACATTTAGCAAGTTCCTAAAGTTAAATAGGCACCATATTAGATTTTTAGATTATTTGATATATTTTTTAATTCTCTTTTCAACGAGCCATCATAACATAAGATTGAAAATAAGATACCAGTTATATCAACGGTTTTTATATTTTAATCAAGTAGGCTATGATGAATTAAAAAAAAACAAAACAAAATCTATTCGAGGCAACACAACAATGAAAATAATTACCTCACATGTTTAAAATACTGGCTATTATTAGTGAAACACACAAGACAGTTTACTTAAACCAATTGGCATTGATGGTATAACCCGCCTTTAGAACACCTTCCAAAATATAACACTACAAAAATTCCATATTGATTCAAATAGATTCAAAAGATTTAAAAAACCGAAAGATTCAAAAAAATTTTTGAAATTTTGTTGTATTTATCAAATCATTTAACATTTTTTTAAAATCTTTTTTGAGCCCTTTTTGAATATCTTCCTTACTGTATTATATTTATTAAAAGTTAATATGCTATATTTTTAGATTATTAAGGTGACGCATGACATTATTGCTATAGTAACGCGTGAAATACGGACAGTTAAGCAGGAATACTATAATAGCAGTAAATAAAAGTTTCACTTAAACTAAACTAAGTGTGCACTTAGTAAACTGTATGTCTATGAATTCCACCCTTAGTTCCACCTCAGTGGCCCATAGGTTCGTGGTGCCCCCACAACTTGGGTACCCCAGAACCTCTGCACTTCTTTTTAGCGTGCCCCGAGCCAGATGCTGAAGTGCATTCCCCCAATCTGAGATGTTGGGTTCCTGTTGTCCGGTTGCCAACGCCCCAGACTCAGGCTAATGGCTGTGGCGCAGGACCCGCATGATCCGATGTTACCCTCTAGTCGACGCCTTCAGTGCGCCAGGTTTCTTAAAAAAAAAGATTTAGGTCAACCTTCAACCGATATTGCCATGAACTTGATTGATGGCAAAATTGAATTCTAAGAAACCACAATCCCTTTATCAGCACTCTGAATGTGAAACTCAAATGAGATCACAAAGTAACCCGGATACAAACTTCAATCGTCCATCAAACTGAATAACTCCAATAGCCGAGAATCCTTTTATAAGAACTCTTACGTATATTCCGTTTTCAAACACATTAACTTTTATCAGACTTGTCCAGCTTTATACAGATAATACCTAACAATAATCAAAAATGATTTGGAAATTCGAGTTACTCGCTAATGATTTATTATATTATTTTGAAGATTTTTAAGTAAAGTAAGTAAAGATAGTTCCTCTTTGTTGCAGCTTCAGAAGAATTGTCAATCGGTAACATGAGGTTTACAACGTTTGATTTAGGAGGACATACACAAGGTAAGAGTGCAACTTAATGTGGTCAAATTGTAAATGTTGTTTCTTTAGCTAGAAGAGTTTGGAAAGACTACTTTCCAGCAGTAGATGCAATTGTATTTTTAATAGATGCCTTCGATAGACAAAGATTTGTGGAAAGCAAAAAAGAACTGGATTTACTTCTCACTGATGAAACGTTATCGAACTGTCCGGTTCTTATACTAGGAAATAAAATAGATCTCCCTGGAGCAGCGTCAGAAGATGAATTAAGAACTTCTTATGTTCTCTATAATCAAACAACAGGAAAGGTGGGTAACTGGTACTTCTACTTTGATGGTTCTTAGATTGAAATTTATTTTCAACGAAGCGCGATTGGGTAGAATGCATATAAATTGTTGAGATACCTGGCGAACCAACCTTCAGAATGCATCAAAATTTTTTATCATTTCTGATGATAGGTTCAATAGTCTTCTTTTACAAAAATAAATGGGAACATTTGGAACCAAAATAATTATGCATTGCGTTATAACTTATATATGGGTAATGTAAGCTACAGTGACTCTATAGTCACTGTAATGTAAGCCAAAAGTTCTTGTGAATGTTATTTATTTGCTATTATTACTACATGAATTGCGAATAAAAGAGTGGTTCAAACATCTTTTCCCAATATTGTTTGTTAATGAGTTCTTGAATTTAAGTTTCTTTTTTTTTTAATTGTTATTATGTAACTACTAATAAAGTTACAGAAACTATCTGCTAACAAAATTTGCGTTTTTGTAAATAAGTTTTGTACATTTAAAAAAATGATAATGCCATTTGATAATCATTGATTCACCCTGTAATCAGTGCCGGTTTAGGAACATTTTCTCCCCTAGGCACAACCCTTTAAGTGCCCACAGACACCTAAAAAAATCCTTTATTAAAAAATTAGTCTTTAATAGAAAATAAATGGAATAGTATAATTTCACGAAAAATAAATTATTTGCGTTTTTAAATGCAAAAAAAAAAATAATTTTCTAAAACTAAATCGAAGAAGGTATTTTTAAATAATAAAAAGTCATAGTTCTCTAAAATATTTTTTTTCTAGCCTTTTGTGAAGCAAATTTATCCAAAATTTCCTCAACATTTATGCGGTAATATGTCACTATTCATGTGTAGAAGTGCCAATTCACTCTGCCGAGAGAATTTCTTAAAAGGTTCATAGTAGTCTCGCTCTGCGATTACGTATATCAATTCGATACAAAAATTGCAGCTTCTCAGTTTTCATATCCTGTTATATAGTAGGTAAATGTACACATTTCAAAATGAATGTGTAATTACTGTTAATCTTTGTCGTAAAAAATGATACAACACTAAGGAATTAATTTTAAAAAGTCGTAAGAACATCGTTATGGGAATTTCCATTCAGTGTGCGTACTACTCAAGGCGACGATACCTGGTGGTAGAACTGGCGGCTGGCGCCCCTAGGCACGTGCCTACCGTGCCGAACCGGTAAACCGGCACTGCCTGTAATAATTAATGGTTCAACATACATTTACGCGCACATGGCTCTGATATTATTAAATCAGTGTGTTTTTCGAGGTGTTTCTGCTCTTATTAATTATTATTAGTGATTTTGTTCCTAATTTAGTAATTACTTTATCAAAATTAAATCAATAAAAAAACAGATTTCAATAACAAATTCAAAGTTGAATTATATGATGGATGATATGGATGTAAATGAATTAAATTCAAATATAAATTTCACCTAAGAATAAGCTGTCCTGGTCAATTGTGGCAAAGGGTAGAGAGTACTCTTTGAATGTGGTGTTGAATGTTAATGATGTGAATCACTATCAAAATATACAAACAATTTCACACCACAATGAATCCAATCACTGTTACCTTTTAATGTAAACTTTACATGAAATTAATTCCTTAAAAAACCTTGCAAGATGTAATATTTTTAAGAAAATCTATAATTGGACCCTCAATGGGTCTCTATATTTATGGTGTAGGATAGTCCATCACAGTCCACAGCAGACGAAACAATGAATTGAAATTGCATTTTCATATTATCTTTACATATTTTGTTCTTAGTTGTCTCAAAACGACAGCATAGATAGATGGAATAGATTTCCAAAATACCAGTTATACTGTATTATCGTACAAATCAAGTAAAGGTCCTACTTAATATTATTTGTTGTGTCTGTCTGCCTGTATGGACTATTTCCACCAGAATTATTACATGGGTCTGCACATCTCCCTCCGGTGGTGTTGCAATATTTTCGATTCATGTCCAGCTGAGAGGAATTGTGACCCTGTAAACCCTCTATTTGTTTTTTTTTTGTGCTATACCATATACCATATAATATTGATTAATTTCTTTCTTTTTAGGGTAAGGTGTCAAGGCAGGACTTACCTGGTCGTCCATTGGAATTATTTATGTGTTCAGTTCTAAAGCGACAAGGTTACGGTGAAGGTTTCCGTTGGTTAGCGCAATATATTGACTGAACCACATCATTAACTAAAATCGTCACATTTTATAACCGGTTACCAGTCACCAATGGACTGTTACAATACTAGTGGTGTTGTTTAAATTGTTCAAGCCATATGATCATTTTTGTTGTGTAAATTAGTTCAATGTAAGTATTTGTTATGTAGTCATAATAAATTTATAACTTTCCTTAAACCGGTTAATGTGTGGTAATTAAATGTTACTGTCAATATGGCTTTATATTTATTATTTATAAACAAAATGACTGGTTCATTTTTTCCATCAATTGCAAAAAAGTGTAAACATCACTTCTCAGTTATTAAGATGTGTTAAAATAAAATTGTATATCGCTAAAGTCCATTAATATACATTTTGCTATCAAAAATGTCTTTCTTACGTCTAAGAGCACATGGCATGTTAATTATTTTATCAACTTCTTTGCATTAGGTATCATACATTTTTTGAAAGGACAACATAAATCAAATGCTTCAGGTTGAAAAAATAATGCCACTTTTTAGAAATGAAACAACAGCTGTGGGAACATTTGGTTTCGAGAATTGCTCTATCCTATTTGTTTGTTTTAATATAACCTTATTTATAAAAACGTCTTGTTATTTTCACTTCTTAACCTCTATTTTATCCCAAAAGAAATAGAATTTAACAGATCAAGTGATGTACATATATTGAATAACTACACATTTTGTGACCACTTGTTCTGCAAAAGTTGGTGCGTGAAGAGTGCAGATTATGTAATGACACTGACTGCTGAACGACCATGATGTATAATAAAGACAGGTGGTCACGCCGCTGCTTGATTCAATACAGTTGTAGCGTTGAGTGAAGGACTTATAGATAGAGACGCAACCTCCATAAGACAAATTGTAATCACTTTTATCTCTTACTAAGCATATCCCTTCTCTATCCAACACACTGGAACGCCGACTAGAAACTTGCCGTCAGGATCTGAGATTCCATAAGCGCTGTGTAAATCTCAGATCCTACGTTCGCGACGATTTTTTGATATAGGTGTTGCGCCTCTATCTGGATTTCTTCACCCAACGGTTGTAGTGAGGCTCGAAACTCACGGAATTAGAGTGAGAGGTGCGAAGAGAGATGCTGTAAATGTCCGCACGGCGGGTACTTCGAAATAAGTTAAATACCTCCTTCGTTGATCTTTTCTTCTTTTTTATCATGTTACTTTAATTTAATAACTACTAGAGTAAACGTATGTAACGTTTTAGCTTACGAAAAAACACGTGAACTTTTTCAAGTCCATTTAGAATTTGTTTCTTGTAATTCGCATAAAAGTGATAAAGGCTGTTACAGTTTTTTTATGCAGTAGGTAATGCGAATTAAACAATTTTATGAAGGACAACAACATAAGATACGGAAGCTGACAGCTATAAAACGCAAAAAATCGAAACTGCAAGTGAATTAATGTAGGACGATTTCTTTTTCCAAAATCAAAATGGCGCCCATAAGAAAAACTAGTTTCCACGTCTTTCTCCGTCATCTTGAAAGTTATTAAAAACAGGATGCCATATTTGAAATCTCCATCAAAGTGTCCGAAAAAATGTGTGAATTAGAAAAGTCTACTACGAGTTTATCATAAAAAAATTAAAAACGAAAATCAGAAATTTTCGTTTTTTGCGATATCTTCAAAACTATTGAAGATATTTCAAATTTCTGTTCAGATTCTTATTCAGCACGAAAATTAGCAACTTTGCCCCCATTTAACCAACTTTCTATCTCTTAAGATAAGTGAGATCTCCATAGTGGCACTCGAAAAATGGACACCATGTATATAGTTTAATTCAAATAGATAATTGTTTGCTGGATTTTTAAAAATTAAACCTAAGCATGAAAACAATTTAGATTTATTTTATGTCAATGATAATATTATAGGTAGAGGATAAATGACTTCTTTAAATTAATGCCTTAAAAAATTGATAAAAGATTTCAATATTTTTCAAAAACATTTTCTTTAACGAGGACGAATGTATTCTTTTGAACGGATTTGTGAACAAGCACAATTGGGATAATGCAAATTCACACTTGTTTCGCGAATACAGCACTTAATTTCTGCAGAAAATAAATGTTTGGGTAGGTATTCTTGGCAATCAAATTATTGGGTGGATATTCCTAGAAGAAAATTTAACAAGGAAATTATTTCGGAATCAGTTGGAAGAAGCCATAGACGCTTAGATTGCAAAATCTTTGAAGTCGAGTATTGCTAGACAAGAAAATTGCACTTTCATCCTTCCATATTTAGCGCGATATTTATGCTCTGGCTGTTATAGGTAGTGCCTCAATCAACAAATGGCCAACACACTCCTAATTTAACTCTACTGGATTTTTATCTTTGGGGACATGGCAGTGTATGATTCCACCCGATAATATTCAAGAGGGCAGAGATACAGAATTTCAACACAGATTAAGCCTCGGATTAAGCATTTAATAAAATTAATTTATTTTGCATTATCTCGTGGGTCTTTTGATTTTTTGTTAAAATTACAATGAGCGAGACAATGAGTGGTTAGTTTGGCAATGAAAATCCTGTATAACAATTACACAACGGTACTGTAGGTGTATAAAATGCTTTGTTTTCGCAAATTTCCTAGAGTGCATACAGACCTACTATGACTTTTATTATAGCAAATAGGTAACATTTAAAATCAAGTATATGAAAAATAAAAGGAATATGGAATCGGAAAAGAATTTTCAGCATATCCTTGAATTGGCCTTACAGTCTTTTGGGTCCAGTTTTGGTTCACCTTAGAGAAATATGTAGTTGCTTTGCTCGAAACTACTCCAAATTTCAAGATTAAACAATGAATATTACAATGTTTATTGTGTGTATGTGTGAAATAAGAACAATTAACCAAATTACAGAATAACAAAATGAATATAGGAACCAAATATAATTAGGTAAATTTAATAAACTTTGATGTGCTTATAACTAATTAGGCAATGAATTTCAATTGATATAATTTGGTGTCAACCTCTTATCCATTATTCAGGTTCTGCTATGACCCTTACAATTTGAACCGTAACTCATTATTGCCCGGAAGTTTATTAAAGAAACTATTCACATAGTCGTCGGTAACACCAGCAAGTGTAGCAGGCTGCCAGTTTGGGTTTTGATCCTTGTCAATTAATAATGCTCTAACACCTGAAAAGTAGCAATTAATAATAGGACTACTACATCAGAGTGTGATGTAATTGCTCAACATAGCGATAATATAATTGCATCATTTCTTATCCATATGACTTAGATAAGTGTTACTATACGCACAGATGTACATTTACAGTGTTGGTTAGTCAAAAGTAACATTCCTTGGATACCTTAAATGTACTAAAAAGTATACCTTATTCCTTCAATTAGCTCAACAATAGTTTATAATTTAGGGCATTTCTTTATAATTGAAAAATGCCACAGGAGAGCACCGTTCAAAAACATTTCTTATTCAAAAAATTAGTCTGGCCATTCAGCGCGGAAATGCCGCTAGTATTATGGGCACTTTCCCTTCTACAATATCTTTAGATGAAATTTTCTTCCTCTCTTAAATCTTGAAACCTTTTTTTTATTAAATACATGTAGGTAAGTTATATTATATGGTTAATCTACTTATTTGAATAAACGTTTTTACATTATTAAAAAAATGAAAATAAATTGGGGATCATGGCATTGTTTATCTGCATTACATTTGAAGGGACGGGACCTTCCTTTTTGACCTGACATTACATCTGTGCTAAAAGTAATCATCTTTTAGGACATGTTTACACGATGCCATTTGCTAGGCAGGTAACCTGCCACAGGTTACTGGCTTCATATGAACGCAGTCTGTCTCATTTTTCGGGAAGGTTGTGTTTACACGAAGCCGGTAACCTACCTTGCAAGTGGAATTGTGTAAATTCACCTTTAAATTCATTGCAGCCATACAATTAAATAACGGGCCGTCAAAAATGAGTTGCTGTTGAGTTACCTTTGGAATTTTTGTTTACATGGGAAATTGTATTTAACTTGAACTTCCAAAGCAAGACTCGAAAGCAATTCATTTTTGATCGCCCGTTACAATTTATATGTTATAATAATACCATTACTTACCTTCATAAAAGTCTTTATTGGAAAGGCAGGCACAGGATATTCTATGTTCTACTTGTAAACATTCTAATAAGTTTAGTTTTTCCCCTTCATTCACAGCTTTTAAAGAGACTTTAAGGCTAGTTGGTGACATTTTAGAAAGTGTAGAGATAGTATTTCTGGCCCAATCTGAGCCATCCTCTTCTAATGCTTTTAGAATAGTTTCTATGGAAGGGGCCGAAAAGCATTTATTGATTTTTGATAGTACTGGTGCGAGTGAAAATGGCGTGTCTAGAGAATTGCCGAATTTTTTTAGTGTATCTTTTATATCACGATCATTGTTGCACTTTGATAATGCCTCCTCAAGTTCGGGCATCCGGTTACTATCACAATAATGCGTAGCTATTCCCGCTAAGAAAACATCGTACCCTTTCAAACGTTGCCCTGTTAAAGCTAGGTAAACACCTAATTTTCCTTGCAAACGAGGTAAAACATACGTTGCACCAACATCCGGGAATAATCCAATTAATGTTTCTGGCATAGCAAAAAGAGTTTTCTCTGTAGCAACTCTGTAATCACCATGAACGGATAATCCTACTCCCCCACCCATAACAATTCCATCAATAAGGGCAACGTAAGGGATTTTATAACTGCCGATTAAACCATTTAACATATACTCTTCACGGAAGAATTCGAAACCTAGTTTACCTCCTTTCATCCCAGATTCCACAATTGCTCTAACATCGCCTCCTGCACAAAAGGATTTTTCACCGGCTCCTTTTATTAAAACAAATCCTATTTTGGTTTCCCACTCTTGCATTTTTTCATATATTTTCCGAACCATCGGTAAATTCAATGCATTTAACGCTTTTGGTCGATTTAAGGTTATGACACCCATATTCCTGATAGTTTCGAACAAAACCTCGTCTTCCGAAGTCGACATCCTTCGGGACATGGTTAGAAAATTTGATTTTAAAATCTTTCGGCAAATCAGGGAAGACAAATTCAGGCCTTTGGTCACCTGTAATTTAAACATGTATTCTTATTGGCAGGCCATTGATAAATACAAACAGGTACCTACCATATTCGTCGGACTAGGACGAAATTAAAAATGCGATTATAGGAATCACATGTACTTAATTACATTCACATAATTATTTATGTTAATCTTTGGAATCATAAAAAATATAGCAGTACGTCAAAATAAGGCCTAGTTCCCACGCGCGGCGTGACGCGCAATCAATAGACGGTTTCGGCGTAAGTTTGACCTTGAAAGGATAAAGAGGAAAGTTCTACCCTACAGTGACTTTATCATTAGCGTCTCACTTCAGTGGCGTAGAGATATAATTTTCTTTCCACTAATAGGAATAATAACAACAAAAATGTATAGAAGGAGTAAAATACACGCTCGTGGTAGTAAACAAAATAGACAAGGATGGGAAAGTATGCAGATTTAATATAATCATTGATTACAAATCTAAATATACATCGATGTGTTCCAGTAGTATAATTAAGGCCAGTTTACTATAGCCACTACAACTTGACAACTCCCATTAAATTCACTGTGTTGATCAATAGCTACAATTGACTGGTTGGTCTCAGGTTCATTACAACGGCAGAGAGATTCAATAATAATTTATTGTTTATTGGTCTCAAAATGTATCCGCACTCGTAAAAAAACTTACACCTGATATCCATATTATAAACTCACACGTACGTTTAGCTGCAAAAACAAGTACCTATAGTACCTACTGCATATTTGATGAACATTTTCCGCCTTTCCGGTGCAACCTTTGGTCGAAATCACAGTCAATGAAGCGTTGTGAGCACAAAAGCAAATTTCGAGAGCTGTTCTTGAGATATATTTACAAATGTTAGGTAACCATTTTGCTCGAAGTACTGGTTCGTTTGGAAAACTAAGAAACATAAACTGGGTACCTACAACCTCGCCTACAACATGATAAATGACATGCGGCAGTTAGTTATTTATATAAACCAGAGCACAAACCGATCCGAAATTATTAGGTACTTTAAAATTGCAAATTTAATAAAATTTGAATTTGGTGGAAAACTGACAGTGACAGGACCCGCGTTTTCATATGTCAAATAATGTCGGCCAAAATGTACCTTCACGGGAACCTATCCACGCGAGTGGCCTCTATCTGTGGCAACTTCCGTCTACAAAAATTCTTACCCCCTCTACCATTATATTCCCTCCATTAGTTTTCTATCTCAATGATTCCATGTGAAGTGATAGACGCACGGTAGAATGGCTCTCATTATTATTGAAATAGCAACATACGCAACATACCTATGGAACGCCGTTGTATCTTTTAATAACTGAACACCCGGACTAAAAAAATTAACTATAATTGACGCAATGGTACTAAAATTTACTTTGTGTTAACAACAATTGCCTAGTTGAAATTAATAATTGCATATCTTCCAATAACAACTCGCAATAATTTCCTCTTTTACAATTTCAAATAACGGTTTTTGTGCGAAATTTCAAAAACCGTTATTGAAATGGCATATTTAACAATTTCAAATCGGCAGTCTTATTCATATATCACGATTTAGAAATAACGTGTTGAAAATTTTAATGTTCAAAAATTATCGATTTGATATTATTAAATAATCTTTAATATCACCTTCACGCTTTGTAATAATTTTCAATTTCAAGTTGAAATAAAAAATTCAATTCTCTATTTCAAACTCGTAACTTTGGAACGCACAATTTAATTTTTAATATCAACTCTGTGATATTGGTAATTCGATTTACTTATATGTCATGACATATAAAAAATTGTGGCGCCATCTATCGAGTGATGTCAAAAGTGAGGAGCGAACCCCAACCCAACTAATCACGTTTGATGTAATTACCGCGAAAATCTACTTTCAAGTGCTTATTTTATTACCCATATCGTTCATAAATACATTGTGCGAATAATATTGTCAAAAAAATGTACAATTACGCGAAATGGAGATTTTAAATTCTGTTCCGATTATTAAACTTACTGTCGCTAGAGGGCAGGTCAATTTGCTATATGTGATTTAAAAATATCGCCTTGATATTTTTAATTCATTTACCAATATGTGCGACTTAATATTTTTAATTGTATTGCACAAATTACTAATTTCTACTTGAAATTTTTAAATAATAAAAAAACCAAACCAAAAAGGCGAGGATGTCGAGAAGCGGTAATCTTCTCTGTAGCGTAGGCGGCATGGTATAATAAAAAATAAAAAGTAGGCGGTACAAATTTTTTCGCTGCATTTTGTTACAAAAGCATGAAACTCGGTCCACGTGTTCATTAGGTCCAAATTAAACTTTTGACCCGCAGCACCCATCGAAATTTTCGTGTGGGTTCAAAATTTGAACACTTTTGTTCAAAAGGGTGTTCAAGGTTTTAAACCTGTAAAAATGGACGAATTTCGGCATTTGAGGGGTGGTTTTTGAATGATTTAGGGTCGCTGGTACCAATGGCGGCATTAAAAAAGTTGCATATCTGACCCTTAGGCCCCAAATTTGGATTATTTTCAAAATAATGGTTAAATTTTGAATTTGATAGTTTTAACCCTGCATGATGTTTCGGATGCCAATTCCAGCTAAGTTGGACGTGCACTACACGCTAGAAATGTTATATTGAAGTTAAAATAGTTTCTGGTGTGTAAATAGGCCGTTCATCGTTCAATAATTTGTTCAAAATTTGGAAATTCCATACTTGAAGGATTTTGCCGTTCTTGGTGTCATTTTCATATAATTTGTGGTTGCTGATGCTGATTTTGTATTCAAAAAACAGATGCGAGTCATAGTTAGGCCCTTTTCATACTACTTTACCTATTAAGAGGGAATGTTCGGCGCAGTCATACCCTTGTTGCCCCGGATTGGAACAACTATTGAATGACAAAGGAAGACGAAAGAGACGGGCATTTCATTAAGATTCGGAAGTAGGCATGTTCTTTGACGGGGTACATGCCGCCTATGCTTCCGTTATTGCCCTCCCGTCTTCGCTTGTTGGGAAATGTGTACTTCCAATCAGTCTTGAGCTCACTCCCCACGACAAGTAACACTCGCAGCGAGGTAGTTCCGTCCGACTCGTGTCCCTTGAAGCAAGGCGAGTGTCGCCAGCTGATGGCCCAGAGAAGGGCAAGTTGACATATGAAGGATACAAAAATTATTAATTGTAGGTATAGTGCAGAGCACATAAACTATTACTCTTGTACTGTCTTATAAATTACAACCACAATAACTGTAATAAGGAATTATCGGTCCAGAAAACCAGGACACTTTGGTTTTTGTTTTGGACTGGTTGCTTTGCATTTTGCTACTTTTTTTTAATTTCTAGACGGGGGCAGCTGCCCTCCCCTGCCCCCCCTTTGGCGACGCCCTTGTCTTGAAGTGAGGATATCCTAACGATACCGTGAAACGCGATCGATCGCGGCGTAGTGCCTGGGCGTGCCCTGAAGTCGCCGAGGCAGCCCCCAACCAAAGTACATCAGACGGCGGGCGGTACGATTAGGCCGCGAGTCACAGGCGTTTTAGGCCCTGCGCGTTGCTGTAGGAACTCTACGCTCATATTGAGAGACCGTTACCTTACCACCATGACCAGGTAGAAGCTGGTTCTGGCCGCCAGTCTTCGAGTGACTCTTCAGGTACATATTACTGGTAGGACTTAACTTTTAGTAAAAAGCAGCTTTAATTCCCTTCCCTTCGTTGAGTTGTTGCACCAGATAACCGGCCTCTAGTGTGTATGTATAGGGTAGTAACTGCTCCAAGTTCGTACCAATATAGCTCGTGTTACGCTTCGCTAGCACTGGATTACTGGCAGAACACACAATAAGTTTTTTGTTGAATTGCTCTGGTATAAACAACACACTTGCCAGTTCACCGTCAGCGCACCGCCGACTAGTGAGACTGGCGCCGCCAGTACCAGCTTCTGGCTGGTCAGGTCATGGTGGTAACGGTCTCTCAATATGCGCGCAGAGTTCCTACAGCGAGGCGCAGGGCCTAAAACGCCTGTGACTCGCGGCCTAATCGTACCGCCCGCCGTCGGATGTACCGGGTGATTCATTATAGAAGTGATGAACGCTTGAATTTCGCGCGTAAGGTTTTTTTTATTTTTTGCATTATTAGATTGACGGTTTGAATTTCGTTAGTAATTTTTATCTGTCATGACTGTCATTGAAGAAACCAGTGTCGCCGTTAATTGTTGTGTGCCATTTGCGGTTTATTACTTTTTCCATTTTGAACAATTTTTAGAGTTGATGCACTAAAATATGTATGTGTAGTGCACGGCCAAATTAGCTGGAATCGACATCCGAAACATCACGCAGGGTGTTGTCTGTGGTAGTACGTATAGTATTATGAGGAATCACACGGTGCCAATTCAAATTAGTAGTTTAGTTAAACTATCATTGGTCCCCGACGTCTTCGAGTACAGCTGGATCGTCCATCATCGTTCCCTAGACGATCGCCTCGGAAGCCGAGCCAAGACGTACTTCGGCCTTAATGAGTGGTTTGTAGCAGTCCGAGAGATTAGAGTATAGTTTTTCACGTTTGATTTGCATCTGATTTACTCGTAGAAATTAAGGTTGGGTCAGTTGCGTGTTACATTACAGTGTAGTTACAGCCAGCTGTCTTGCAGGAATTTTAAAAATTCAGGCTTCTTTTCTTGTTGCATTATTGTTTAATTATATTAAATTTCGTTCCTAAATAGAGACTTACGTAAATATTATATGAAACAGTAAAAATAATCAAACGTGCAAATTAGTTCGATACCACGATTTCTGACAAGAATTGTCTCAAGAAACAGCATTTTTAATATATTCTTTGGTGGGTGAAAAGTGGAAAATATCAGGAAAGCATCTACACAAGTCAGGAGCAAGGGGCCGTTTTACAAGTCATTTAACGCGGGGATCCCTTTTAATAGCTTGATGATAACCTCAAATTGGATTATTGCACAAGTCAAGTCCGTATTTATGTACGAATTACTGCATCCAACAACACAACAAGAAGCTCTGGACGAACGAAAAGTGTTTTTCGAAGTCATAATTGTTGTTTTATTTGGAGTAAGCTTGTAAATATTAATACAGTAATAAACGGTCGATGAACTTGTTTCACCACATCTTATGTTAAATTCGCCACCAGACGGCGCCACATCCGAATATGCTACTTGCCTATAGCATCGTCGTCAGACGATACTGAAGTGGCATATCTTTCAGGACGTCACCCTTTCC